AAGTTGAAGTTCTGAGGTCATGGGCTTCGCCCTTGCCGCTAGCGGCTTATTTTTGTCAGCAATGAGGTCATTCGTGATAAAAATAAAGCTAGCGTAGATTTTACAATACTGCGATGTAGAGTTTAAGAGTTGTGCTTCAATGTAGAGACAGTCCTTCCCATCTGGAGGCAAGAACACTGGACATTTATATGGTCATGAGTGGAGAACATGTCTATCCAAAACTCACGATTGAAGCCAGTTAATTTATAGTATTTAGGTTAGGGAAGTGGTGAAGTTCTTGTATGACCAATGAACTCATTTTCAACGCCTTTGGCTATATTAGAGTAAAGTATTGCTTGCTTTCTATCCCAAATGCCAGGTGTTACAATCTTTGAAATTCATTTTTCCTCGAAGCATTGCATCATAATTGAAAACATTCTTAAAATCATCACTTGGTTCGGAGATTTGAAATCTTATACGTAATGGATTTTCTTTCTTTTAGCGATTCATTGAATGGTGAGAATACAATGAATTGACAGTCATGAGTTCCATCTTCATTTTCATTAAATTCATAATGAAAGTATAAGTTTGTGGCTGACTACCTTCTTCCTTCAGTTGTGCAAGAAACTCACGTAAAGGCTGTAAAGTTTGTACTTCAATTTGAACTTTTTCTCGAACATCTCATTAAATGAAATCATACATTGCAACAATGTTTATCGTCTTTAAAGTATTTGTATATGAATGTTTTGGGCGCTTAAAGACTGTTCGTCATTTTCTATCTCGACTTGAAGTATAAAGTCAACCTTTCTGAAAGCACGTGTTATATACATAGATGTTATGCCAATGTACTTCTCTTCATTTATGTTCACAATCCAGTCTGTTGGAAACTTAAACGTTACTCTGTTCCCCTTTATTTTGACGTCAGGGTTTTCACTACTGAACGCAACAGATAAAGGTATTTGTCTATACATTTAATTCGGATAAAAATAAACCATTTACTCTTTCTTTGCTTCAGCTTCTTTAGCTTTTGCTTCTTCTCTAGCTTTTTTCGCCAGCAAACGGGGTTCTTCTGTCTTCCAGCAGCTAATGCAGCTAGTTGTTTTTCACTAAGTTTCTCTTTGGTCTCTCTGGCTTTTGTTCTTGTTTTGTTCCTTCAGTTCGGATAAAATTTGCTCGCGAATTTCTTTCTTCAATGCTTCAACATCTATGACACCTTGGGTCTTGTCCGTAGGGCTTGTCTGAGTCATTTGACTGCAGATAAAAAAACTAAATTAAAACTTTAACCGATGTAAAATGAGCTTGTCAAAATCAGAGCGAGAGTCTATTATATTAAATGACGCAAGAGGAATACAACATCCTTTCTATTACGTAAGTCAGAGTAAAGATGGTAAAATATACGTAAGAAAAGAAAAGGTACCATTAGCGAATGCAGAGAGCGACAAACAATTAAGGTGCATGGCAAGGGTGAAGTCCACGAAGCCCATATAAAACCTTCTGTTTCAAACTGAAAAGTCAATAGAACCAGAAGAAAAGAAGCCAGATGTTTCTTTCAATAACGAACCAAGAGCTTATTGCAAAGTTCGTGAATTTCATTGAAAAACAAACCGAGTCAAAGAACCCTGACCCACCAGTGAAAGAAGTTGAGACAAAAGAGAATGTACAGTTCATTGAAAATGTCAAGAACAACTTCCACCACGAATGCCAAGAAGAAGAGTGAGAATAATGAAGTAAATAGATATTTTTATCTGAAGTAAATACATGCAGAACGAACAGTTAAACGAATTTACTCCAGCAGAGCATATTCATCAGATTCGCTCATATTTCGATATCATAGACAATGCAGTTCAAATTGGTGACACTAATAGAAAATATTCTGACGCAAAGATTCCATCACAACCTGGAACTGCTAAAGATAACACATGGGTAACATTCAATCTCTCACCTCCTGGTGAAAATATGTTGGACCTTTACAAATACATTCATTACGTATAAAATGGAAGGTCAATTTATTGTAGATAAAGAAATTGGTTCAGGTTCCAATAAAACAAACCCACCAGGATTTTGGATTGGTTTCGATGACGCTTTCTATGCAGTTGCTGGATATCAAATCCTTGCAAATGGTCGTATCGTATATTCTCAAGACAACGCAAGAGAAGAAGCATATATAACTTCAAACTCACAAACTACCGAACAAATAAAGAAGTAGATGTTTTTTCAAAGACTCGACATGAAGATGTATGGAGTCATTCGGGAACATGCAGAACAGGACAAATTGTTAGTGGTCCTTACAGCAGGAAAAAATTTGATTTTAAGCTTCGTTAAGAATTCCTGTTAGAAGATTCCTTCCATTAGAAGCTACGATTTTCCAGCTTTTGCAGGAAAATTCACTTAAAGTAAAGTTCAGTAGCGACGCCTTACAATGCACATCATATCTTGTAAATGATATCATTGCTTTCAATCCAACTCTTAAAGTGCATTGCTTCAGATTCAAATCCACCGACAAATAATTGTTCCATGGAATGAACCATTCACTATGATAACGAAGGCAATAGAAGCTAGTGGAACAGTTACTATTACAACTGTAACCCAGCAACTATTTCGAACAAAGATGGATTTTAATGAATGTTTCATTCATCCAAAGTCATTCTCTTTAGACCCTAAATTTATACAGAACTTGTAGAACATTATACAAACGAGGCTTTATGTTTTCCTGTTAAAGTTATGGATTGGATTCCTATGGGACGGTTCATTCAAAGAATACAGATAGTTCAAGTGCAACATTTACAGCAGCTTATACTCCTATTAATGTTAAAAGTATTTGGGCACTATTTAGAAAGAAAGACAACTATTATGTTAATTTTGAGAACCCTAAGTTTAAATATCTTCAGCTTTCCATGGGAGCTTATGGAAATATGCTGCAGAACCTGAAAAATCATATGGACCTGTATTTTATGAAATGGTTGCGAACGCTTGCAATACAAACAATGATATGATAGATTTAATGAAGATGTTATGAGGTCATTGGTGGATGATGGTAGTGTGGAACATAAATGGATAGCTATGACAACACCCATTTCTTATGTGGTTTTCCAACAGAAGTGGACTTTTGCTTCCAGCAGGTCAAACATCTACTGCTCCAATAACATACAAATTGTCTGTTAAAGGACCTATTGAACTAGCAACTGAAAATGTACCAAAGCCACTTATTGGATTTATGAGGATTGTTGCTTTGCAATACAAGTAAGACAGTCAGGCATACCAATAATAAGACTTGACGACTATAACTTAGCAACTGACGACAGTGAGGAATAAAGGATGAACGTTTATTTTTAAAGCTTATAAATGAGTTCTTCATCAAGCTCTCGTGAACCTTCACCATCTATGAAACAAACTTTACCAACGATTATGGAGCACCTATTGAATATTTCTTACGAGCTGCACAATGGCAAAGAGCAGTCTCACCAAGGTTAGGTGTTCCACCAGCTCCTGTCAAAAATAGCATTTGGTCAAGTCCTTATATAAGATATGGTCTCCCACTAGGTTTGCTAGCTACAGCAGGAGCAGTTATGATGTTGAAAAGAAATAAAGCAAATGTTATAAATAATACTGAAGTAGCTGAATTTGAACAAACTCCGACACCATCGCCAAAACCAACGCCTTCACAAGCAAAACCTTCAATGACTCCTGAACCTATGGAAGTACAAACTCCTGTTCAAAAGTCAACTCCTAAACCGACTCCAACATTTAAACCAGAACCTACGCCTCAAATAAATCGTAAAACTCCTGCGTTTCCTTACTGAAAAAATAATGTTAGTTTTATTTTATTTGAACATTTTATTTAGAGTAAAATGACGACTAAAGTCACTGAAGCAATGAAACAAAAATTTTTGGTAGAATACATTAAATCAGGAGCGGTTCCAGAAGGTTTTTACGTTCATACTATGAAGGATGGTAGAGTTCAGTTTAGAAAGATAAAGCAACCATTAGATAGAGAAGGTATATTAAGGAAGATTAAACTTCATGAGGACAACATTGCTGAACTTAGGAAGAAGTTAGAAGAGTTGGAGAAAGGAAGAGAGTTATAAAGCAATGAATTCATGAGGTGAAAAAAGAGGTGAGAAAACAGGTGAGATTTCACCACTTCACCTAAATTTATTTTTGCGCTATGTTTTCATACGTGTGAGGGTGGTGATATCATTAATTTTAAGTTTATTTTTATATAATTTTTTATTTTATTTTATATAAATGACGAAAACTATTGAGATAACAAACTACAACGGTCATGAGTTCAAGAATTTGTTCTTCGTTCCTCGTGAAAATACATTCTATCAGATACGAGGGAGAAAGGGTAAAGTTAGTTTGAGCGTTTATGAAGGAATGAAGAATGGAAAGTTTATACAAGCATACGATACAAACGGTAAACGTGTTTCATTAGCTTTGTCAAAACTTACTAACATTTATTTTGACAGTGACTTTGACTCTGACGATTGGAGCGACAGCAGCGATACTGAAGAATATGAACTATTGTGTGAAGCACAGCAATGGGAAGAGTTGCAATACTTTTGTAAGTGAGAACGTTTATTTTTTACAGTAGTGAGGTGAAGTGGTTGGCGGCTTTATAAATATTTAAGGTTAAGTTGGTGTTTGTGTTTGTGTTGTAAAATATACGTTAACGGTTTTGTAAAGTGTCAAATTCACAAGTATTGCGTATGGAGGAACGCAGTGCCACAGTACACGAGATATGTATACTAACTATATCAACCTGAGATACAATTTTGGGCTTGTTATAACTTAATAATACCTTGATTTGACAGAGTCTAAGATGTATCATCGAGGTCTTTGGCATGATTGTTTTAAATCCATTTGAACTTAAAAAATTTTGGCCATCAAAATTGAGACGATTAACATGAATGAAAGCTTCAAGAAATATCTAAAGGGATAAAACTTTCAAAATATTAGTCATATAAAATTTTAGCGGTTGTGAACGCTAAAATTCTCTCAAAATTTTATAAGAATTTATTATGATCGCTATCTTCGTTTATTTGAGTTCATCCATTGTTGTTAACGAGCCTGGTTACTATGAACACGAAATGGAAGATACATTTGCACTTGATTTTAATTTTTCGAATACAGAGCAATATGATTATTTTTTTATTCCCGAAAATGATAAGATTTTGAAAATTGATGGGCAGCCCATGAAACAAATCATTGAAGCTAAGGGAAATCATACAATTAGTCTTATTGGTTACGCACTTCTTTTCAGATATTCTGTCATGCAAATCAGTAAGCATTGTTTCACATTTGATTTTATTTACAAACCAGATGCAGGTGATAAATATATTTACGAACTACCGGATTTAGAAAAGAACAAATCATATTGTTCAATATTTTACAGTAATACTAACATGTCTATTGTAGCAAACATGACAAAAGAGACTAATACAGATCATCGCCTAAATATATATGATGGATACTCGATGAAATCTTTTCATCAGGAAACTCTTACTTCAGATACAGTTTTAAGCAAGAATTACTATACACCATTTCTTATTGTTGAATACATTACGTCAACAGACCCAATAAATCCAGGTAGTAAAGCTGGAGTTACAATATTATCTCCAAAAAGCAATACAAGATTACTATTTTCGCTATCGAACACTTGTCATTACTTCCAAAGCATGGTAGAGCTTGATTTTGGCGCAGGGTATGAAGTTGTTTTTTACCATGGAGATAGAACTCTAAATGTATCACATACATTGAAGGTCTTTCCAGTAATTAAGAACAGATACATTATTTTCTACAACTTTACAGAAGATGTTCAGGCCACGGCTGTTGTTGGAGACACAAAACTTAATTTTCTCGGTGACACCGGAATTGTCGGAGTTTCTTTCTTAGGAACAGGTTATGTTACGATCATGTGTACTTCAAATGCATCACGATTGGTCTATTATACAGTATTCAACAACGTTTCGCTACCTAAATGTGATACTACTTTAACAATCGCAGGAAAACAGAATTACGAAACGAAATTCAGGAAGGGCACAAATGTTTGTGTTTATTCAGTTGTTGGAACAACCCAAATGAAGAATCCTCCGAAGAAATATGAATCATTTTTGACTTCAGGAAAAGAAGTTTCGCCTATTTCTAAGGATAATATCGACAGCTTCCCAGATCCGTGTCAAATGAGTTTCTATGATTCATTAAATGACATTAATTTCCGCTTTTTGTGTTGTGCATGAAAAATAGCGTGACTTCACTTTTGACAAAAAGTGACATTATTTCTGATGGTTTTGTTATTTATTTGTCAGATTTATAAATGGATAATAATGCTGTAAATCAGATATTAATTAAAAATATTTAAGATTTATGTTCGAATTGAAAAGCAAAATGATATTTTTTAATTGAAAAACGTTAATATCTGATATTTTGAAGTTTTTAATATTTGTTAGTATCTTAAATTATTGAATGCATACGTTTTTTATGTTCTCAATTTTAAAAAAAATTGTGAAGAATTTAGTTTTTTGGAGATGGATGTTTAATATTTGTGAGTGAGAATGCAAGCAGGAGTTTGGTACTTTAAGGCTAGGTTGAGATAGATTTCCCATTATATTATCTGTGAATATATTGTTTGAAAATTCAAGATATAAAAATATATTATCAAAAAATTTTATATTTTTAAATACAATAGGGTGGAAATATAGTACAATGAGATAGCAATGATATATTTTATAATGGGAGGTAATCTGAAGATAAGTAGCAAATTTTATGCGATTTTGATTGGGAGTTGGAGGGTGTGAGTACTATAGCATGTAATAGTATCTCACACCCTCCAATTCTTCCTATGGCGCCGAAAAATTTTTGGTGAAATGCGACGACATTTCACCAAAAATTTTCGGCGCCATATAGAGAACTATAGTCTGCGAGGTACTGATTCTATCTATGTACCTCGCAGACCATAGTTCTCAGCCAAAATGGCTAATAATTTGAGAGTCTATATGATAATGGAAAAGTGAAAACATTCAAGTATTTAAGTATTTCTTTAAAATATTAAGTTTTTTATTTTTCCAATAAAATTCTAATATCAAATATTTTTATTTAACGATTAATTTTATTTATATTTTTATAGTTTTTTTTAAGAAAAAATATTGTTAGGGTTTTATGGATTTTCAATTAATATACAAGATAATTCATGAATGTATATATTTCCAAGTTTTTAAGGATGCAACACTTTACATTTGTAAACTGTCAAAAGTGAAGTCACGCTATTTTAAAAGGACAATAAAATGTGATAGATACTGATCTTTTAAGTCATTTATTTTTGTGATTTTAAGAAAATCTGAATGATGATTCTATTTTTTGCAAATTGAGTAAGAAAAGGACTTTTTCTGAAAATTTTTTCTGTAAGTTTTCAATAAAAATTAGTGTACAAACAGTATGGTGGATTTTAAACTAGAAAAATTTTAGTTATGTAAAGATTTATTCAAAAGTGTCATTATTTATCGGAAATGACTTCTGCCAAGCCGGAGATGGCCACTCCTTCTCCAAAGAAAGTCGATCGTCGAACCTCAATGCAGGAGCTTACTCAAGAAGAAATCAGAAAAAAGCAGGCTGCCGATCAGATCTTCAATGGCAAAAAACACAGGCGTGAAAGCTCAGCAAGCAAGATATTCATTGGAGATCACTTAGGACTACTTCATGAAGAAAGTAGCATAAATACAATTCTTAATACGTTCGATCCTCCCGAAGAATTATTCTTTGCTGACCACTGTACGAGGCTAACAAATCGTAATCATATGGAAGATTGCGGTTTTATTATAACTACAAATCATATTTGCATAACAAACACAAGATTAAACGCTTATATAATTCCCGAGCCTGTAGAGATCAAAAACATTGAATTCATTTCTACATCTCTTGAAACAGATAATGCTGTTGTAATTCACTTGCCTGATTACAATTCTGAGCTTGTCATGAGTTCTAATAAAATTGAATTGATGAAAGTACTTATGGAAAGGTATAGATCAATTGCAGCAAAGGATTTAGAAATCAAATTTAATAACGTTATTGAATTTGATGTTGATAATGATACAATATTCGAATTTAATTTTGTACGCGCTAGTGATGGTGTTCGTATGACTTTGTTTATCAAAGCAAAGCCTGGAGCACCTGCGATACCTCCACCTTCACATTAATATTTGAAAGAAAACTAATTTCTTTAAAATTCTTCCATGTTTTTATATGTCTGACCATTGAATTATAAATATGCAAGTTATCTTTTACATTTTCAAATAATAATTTTTTTCAATATATTATTTTAAAAATATTTCTTAAATCTCAGCAACGTTATGTTGTTTCTGATAATGTAGTATGAATGACGTAAATTATTATAACAAAGAGCTTTATTATCAATAAAAGAAAACGAGAAAAGAGTAAAAGTACGTTGAAATAGTAAATAACTATAATGACTAATAGCAATTCCATAATATATCAAATATAAAAAATGATATCGAAATTTTTGGATTAAAGATGAGCATATTCATCACGAACTTTTTCCCTTGAGCAAAATCTAACAATAAGGTCTACTGTAATTGCAACTGCAATTACAACAGAACCAATTATATATCGGTTCATTTGTATTGCATCACCACCAAGTGTTTCAATACACTTTAAATCTGTTTGTCGTGTTACGTGGTCACATGTTGTTTCATTAAGAGCAAGCGATGAAATACATCTATTTTCAGATTCTGTTTTCCCAAAGCAATAAAAGCATGTTTCTTTGTGTTCCATACAAAGCAAGCATGAGCTATTGTAGTTTGAGCAAGTATCTTCTTCGGTCGCGCTCTTTATGAGTGAAATGAGAAAGAACAGCATTGAAAAGTGTCAATTCATCGTTTTTATTCTCTGACTGCTTGCTTTTTTCATTTTTGTGCTTGGCGATAATGTCTTTATGATAAAAAAGAAAATACTCAAGAATGTCCTCCTAAATATATAACAGATGCAAATTTGCAGAAATAAAATTCAATTTTAAAAAACACCGGATACAATACTAGATCTGGATCAGTGCAATTGAATTATCAAATGAAAACTAGGAAAGAATAAGCTTGTGAATAAGAAAATTCATAAAACAAAAAATTAACATCAGGAAATTCTGTTACCGACATCCACTATAAAGGAATTTTGATTTAAATCAACAGAAATGTGTGTAAATTTCGGTATAATTTTTTTTTATTGTTCGTCATCACCCTTGTATCCATGTTAATTCGATAAGATTTTGGAGATTCAAATTTTTGCTATTCAAATATTTGCTATCTTTTTTGGATTATATTAAATTAATTCAGAATAATGCTAATTGTAAGATTGATTGTTAAAAAATCTTTTAGATTTTTCACTATTAGAAGCTTTGAATTTTTTTGGTTGAACATTTTGGAATTCAATCCGAATTGAATATGCATTCAATTCTTTACTTATCTTTTAAAAAATAATAAATTCTGTATTGTAAATACAAATGGTATGATACAAAATTTTCATAACGACTTTTTCAATTTTACCGTAATAATTATTGCTTATTTTTTATTATTTTTGTATATCATAGTTATCACATTAAAAATATTAAAAATTATTAGCAATTGGATCATTTCAGAATTGAATATAGCGTAAAAATTTGATATCTATCATATTATTATATTTATGTAATACTCTTGAATTCAATGAAAATCATTAATTCAGAAACAAACCTTGAATTTACATTCAAAATTGACTAATCAAAAATAATGGAGGAGTGGGAAACTGAATATCTCCTTTCCATTGGTTTCACTGTCCAAAGACTCATTGCCAAGGGTGGATTTGGCATTGTATATCTTGTATATTCAGAGTAATTTCATACAGAATTTGCAATCAAAAGAATTCCAGAAGAGAGATTCATGGAGATAGAGGTCGATATATTGAAATCCCTTGATAATATCAACATATTGAGGCTATATAATACCTTCAGATACAATCATTATGTGTATTTAGTAATGGAATTTTGCCCATCCGATCTTTCAGAACTGATTCGAGATCATGATTTATCAGATTATCAATTACAGAAGTATTGTTGTGATATACTTAAAGCAATTAAAGCATGTCATGACCAGCACATTGCTCATAATGATATCAAGCTATCGAACTTTCTGATAGACCGATATGGCAGACTGAAATGCTGTGATTTCGGTTTATCCGCTGTTTATGATAGTAGCAATCAGAATCTCAATTTCCGCGGAACAATGCTATACATGGCACCAGAAATTTTTAACAGAGGCAAGTATAACCCATTGAAAGCAGATATTTGGTCTATCGGTGTAACATTTTTCATTATGGCCACACATTTCTATCCTTTCTTCGCTATGGAAAAAGAGAATTTTATTCAGATTGTTAAAACAGGAAACTATCCAATGCATGAAATCAAGAATTTGAATCTCCGTAAGGTAATCATTGCATGTCTTCAGTTGAACCCCGACTGCAGACCAACTGTCGACGAATTATTGGGATATGATTTCTTTAAGATTGATTATGGCAGCCCGAATACTGTGTTCAGAGCTTCATTGTTAGCAGTTCCAGGTAAGTCCATAATTAAGCCTGCTTTAAAGAAACTGAACAACCAACTGATTAGGAGCAAGTCAACATTGAGACTTAGAAATATTCCTATCCCTATTCAATGATTGATTCTTCCTCAGAAATTCAAATTTGAAATTTGAATTGGAATGATATGGAAATTCAATTTGATCTTCTTGGATTGTTATTCGAGATATATAATCATGGAATTGTTAAATAAAGATTTATGATTCATTTAAAAAAAATTGGAGAATGAATTTTCAATTCAAGAATATCTAGATATTTGAAATAGAATTCAATGAAATTTGTTATGAGATTGCAGTAATAATGATTAATTTGATCCGTAAGCAAAAAATTAATTTAGAAAATCGATATGAAAATTAAAAAAAAGTAGATTAAGGAAGTTGGATTTAATAATTGATTACTACTCAGAGATATGATTGGAAATAAATGAATGAAACTTGGTTAGCAATGAGAAAAGAAAATGTCTTAATTAGATTGATAGTAAAATGGGAAAAAATGATGAAACATAAACTAGATAGATTATTGGGATATTATTTTAAGAAAAAGATCGAAAAAAAATTGAGAAAAAAAATGTAAAATGAACATTTTCAAGCAAAAAAAGAAATGCATATCAAACAAGAACAAAATTACGGTGACGGCAAAAATTGAAAGAAGCAAAATAGCCGCACAAGAAATTTGAATACTTATGAATTGAATATATTCAATTTTTGAGTTTCTGTCCAATCATGATTAAACTTGAAGAATATAGAATAAATAGTGTTACTCGTTACAATTTATCTATAATTATTGTGGAGTAAAAAGCTATTGATGTGATAGTTGAGCATTTTAATTAGCGGGAATAAATAGATAATTAATCAATAATAAAATTTTCGGCACGGTACTTTTAAATTGAAAGGATTGTAAGAGTATCTGAAAAATAATAATCCGACTTGTTCTTGTTTGCTGTAGTTATATTAATATGCAGCTTTTCATAATTAATAACTCATTTTATTGGATTAATTGAAAATTTTTTCTTGATATTTATAATAGATATATATCATAATTATATATTTTAATACTAATTCATATTTTGTAATAAAATGCTTTTCGATGCTCAGAATAATTTATTCTGAACTTTTCTAAATAAAAAGGATATATTATTAAATACAAACATAATTTAATATCCTAAAAATTCAGAATGTCATCAAAAATTTATTAACATGTTTTTTTTTGTGAATCTTCACAAAACCTCAACGAGGACAGGATTTGACACTAAATTCCCATATTTTCTATTGTTGTTTATTCGTAGATAAAAATGTTTATTAATTTGGTTTCAAAAATGATCTAACGTAAAACTTATAAAAACTATATTTTACCACACCTTTGTTATGCTGTTAAATTTTATATAATATCATAAAATTCAGAGTTATACGGTACTATTCAATTATATTTTTTCAAATTTTACAATGCATGAAAGAGAAGCTGAATTCTTTTTAAAAGAAGGATTAGTTTGCAATGGTGTTATTGCTGAAGGTGGATTTGGGATTGTTTTCAATGTATATAGCCTTCAATATCAAACATACTTTGCATTAAAGAAAATCCCCGAACAACGATTCAATGAAGCTGAAATAGAATGTATGAAGCGGCTTGATCACCCCAATGCATGCAATCTATACAACTACTATAGATTCAATGGATTTGTTTATATGTTACTTGAATATTGTCCAAGTGACCTTTACAATTTAATGAAGTTACACGAGAGTCTAGAAGATGATTTACTTAAAAAATATTGCTATGAGATCCTTGTCTCAATTAAGGCCTGTCATGATCAAAACATTGCCCATTCTGATATCAAGCCATCCAACTTTTTATTGGACAAGTATGGGAGACTCAAGATTTGTGATTTTGGACTTGCTGCAATGTATGAAGATGAAAACATGAGATCCAAAACCTTCAAGGGAACAATGTTATTCATGGCTCCTGAAGTGCTTAATAAAAGGGAATACAATCCTATCAAAGCAGACATATGGTCAATTGGAGTTGCATTCTACTTTTTGGCATCAAATTCTTATCCTTTCGATGCAAAGGATAAACAAACGCTTCTTTATCTCCTTAATTCTGGAATATATCACACTCACTCAATTGATAATAGCCATCTTAGGCAAGTAATTGAAAAATGTCTTAAAATGAATCCTAATGAAAGAGCAACAATTGACGAGTTGTTGAAGATGCCATATTTTGATTCAATGAATAAAAAATCACTTGCTTTTACAAGCAGAGCACGAGCAACTCAGTCTACAAGAGCCCTCATTGTACTTCCCAACTCTGTTATCAATAGACAGAAAAGAATTCAAAGGAATACATCTCTACCATGCACCAGTAGACGCCTTGTTTTATAATATGTTTGTGATCATGATAATAAAAATATATTTTATATAATAGAATTTAAATTAGAAGTAATTTATTATAAGGCTTTAGAAGGAAAAAGTAACAACCTTAGATGTGATAAAATTCTATTATTAAATTGATAAGTTTCTCATTTATTGAAAAATGAGAAAAATGATTGAGGTATTGATAGAGAAATATTTCAGTTTTCCGGTACAGTTTGTGTGTGTTGATGTATTACAGCAGTTGAAAGAGCTCAATGTAGCAAAGAAATGAATTTAGGTTGAAACCAAATATCAATATTACTCAAACCTTAAAGTCAATATTGTTTTTATAGGTTAATTAATTTAGAATCACAAAAGCATCTATTTTGAGCAAAGGGATACTTTTAAATAGGAAGAGTTTATTTGCCAAGTGGAGATAGCCAAATTCAGAAGAGGTTAAAATTAAAAAAAAATTGAGAATATTAAAAATTTGATGCAATGAATGAGAATAGATTATAGAGTAAAAACGATATTAAATTGGCCGAATTTATTTTGAGAAAAAAATTTTATATCACAGTCGATAGTTAATGAAATTTTTTGATAAAAATAACAGTATAATAAATGTTATCCATATAGCAACTTTTATTGAAATTTTTGCACGCGAGTTTTCAAAAATTCCCATATTAAAATTATAATGATAAAGTTATGTGTAATTATAAGTATTACAGATCAATAGCAACGTGCTTTTGATTTTACACTATCTACGGGTTGAAAAATTTGCTGAAAAACGGCCCGAAATTAGATGTGTTGTGTGAATAATATAAAAATGATTAAGTTCAATGTTATCAATTTTTACATATTGCGGCGGTTCATCACAAAACTTTCTAAATATATTTTTTCAATATTCCTCAAAAGTCAATCCCTTTTTATTGAATAATCGTGTAATTTATTGTACACCGTGTGCATTATATCGTTTGGGAAAAGTGCCGGTTGGTCAAACTTATTAAATGTACTATGATTTTTAAACTATACTTGTTTGATTTTTCCATTGTTAACTTTTCTCTTTTGAACAAATTGAAAACTCTGAAATTTTTATTAAAGTATTATTAACAGATGCAATCGACGAAGGAGAGTGAATTTTTTAAAGAACTTGGTATAACCTTCGATAAAGTTATTGGAGAAGGTGGCTATGGTATTCTTTATCTGGTATATCACGAACAATACAAATCATATTTCGCCATGAAGAAGATTCCCGAAAAAAGATTCAACCAAGCCGAAATTGACTGTCTCAAAAACATCGATCACCCAAACATTGTTTCTTTATACAAGTATTATTTCTTTAATGGCTTTGTTTATCTTTTAATGGAATACTGCCCTGTTGACCTTTCAATGATTCTTCAGAAACAATCGGAGCTCGATGAAGAAATTCTTCGCAAGTATGTTCATGATATCTTACTTGCTATTAAGGCTTGTCATGACAGATGTATAGCTCACTCAGATATCAAGCCTTCTAATTTCTTAATCGACAAGTATGGGCGTATCAAAGTATGTGACTTTGGTTTCTCTGACGTTTACGAGAATTGCAGTTGCCAAATGTATTGTGGAACTTTATTATTTATCGCTCCAGAGGTTCTCAAGAAACAAGAATACAATCCAATGAAAGCCGATATCTGGGCACTTGGTGTTACCCTTTATTACATGGCAACAAAGTAATTCCCATTTTACGCAGCAAATCAGAAAGCCCTTCTTGATATAATCGAACAAGAAAGATATTGCTTGAGAAATGTTGAAAACCCACTTCTCAGACAAATTATTGCAAGATGCCTCGAAAAAGATCCATCTAAAAGAGCTGAATGTTCAGAACTCTTAGAGATGCCATATTTCGATGTATTTAAGCAAACTAGCCCTCCAACAAAAAAGAAGATTGGAATTTCAACCAGTGCTTTTGCCTTAAATTACAATCTCACCACAAAGTTCTCAAACTTAAAGATTGAGAGGAACACCATGAACCCATCCAAGGTTAGGATCCTTAGACCTGTTATCCATAACAAATTATAATTATAGAAATTTCATTTTGATTTTTTGTTGCTCGTGTATATCGGCAATGAAATGTACCATGCAAATCATCATGTTTGTAAATATATAACTTATTTTTTATGATTATACAACTTTTTTTTATCAATTGACTTTATACTTCAATTGACAATATCCGCTTTTGATATATAACTCATTGTTGAGGATGGAAATAATTGGATTTAAATTTCGGGCGACAAGGTGATGATGAAATATGGAGAAATTTTTGAGACCAAATATAATTAAAAGGAAAATTAATTAAAAAAGTGATAACTATATGTGAATTATAGAACATGTTAGGGGACCTTTGAATTTAAAAAATTTTGAGAAAAGATAAATTAAAACCAATTAATAAAGCAATAATGAGAGGAAGATCGAGTTTATATAAGATATCAAAAATTGGGATCATTGGAGACATTAGAATCAAAACTATATGATATGACTAGAAATGTTTGATACAATAGATTTAACAAGATAAAATATTGGGAAAAAAACTTTTATCGATTGAAATAGTCACTGAAAAATTGAATGAATAGTTTTGAAATTGTAAAAATTAAAAATACCACTTGATATACTATACTGATTAATATCATATCATGTATACTTTTGAGAGAACCGTTAATCCAAAAATAATTCTCTATATTTTTAATCGATTCAATAAATACATTATTATAAATGCGTTCAAAAATTTTGAATACTTCCAATCTCACAAAAATAAGATTTTTAAAATATACTCTATATTTGAGAAGTAATTCAATTTTAACCAGGCTCAAAATGAAAATATCTTACGGCCATTCATTTTTGAATGTGTATTTCGGTTTTTCTCAAATATCTCAACCCTTATGAAATTTCAATATAATATATTCAATTATTGCTTATCTTAATTTATCTTTGATGTTGAAGACTATTATACATATATCAAATTGACTGTAATAAGTTCAATATAGTTCACAAACTCTCACAAATCTTTGCAACTCAAAATAATTTTGCTCTATTAGATTCTTAATATATATACTAACATTTTTCAATTTTTTAACAAAACTTATCTGTTATTAATTTTCATGAAATATTATCTATCACCTTCATTAATTCACTAGTTCCAAAGTATGACCTTTCATTTTGAATACTATTCAATTTCTGAAACTCAAGAACATCAAATAACGAATATTTCAAAAATTCAATCAATGCTTTTGGACGAGAGAGACTGGTTCGAAAAGGAAGGTATCGAATACATTTCAACAATAGCAGAAGGTGCCTATGGCAAGATCTTTCTCGTCTATTCCAAAAAGCTTCAAGCAAACTTTGCTCTCAAGAAAATCCCAGAAAAAGATTTTAGCGAGAGCGAAGTTGAATTAATGAAGGAATTATCACATCCAAATGTTATAAAGATGATTCAAATATACCGCTTTAGTAGCTATGTTTACTTACTCATGGAATATTGTCCTTTTGATCTCCATAAATTCTTAGAAAAGCACGAACAAGTGAATCCAGATCAGCTTAATAGACTATGTCATGATATTCTAATTTCTATTAAGGCCCTTCATGATCAAAATATTGCTCATTCAGACATCAAGCCATCAAATTTCCTGTTAGATAAGAGTGGTCATGTTAAAGTTTGTGATTTTGGATTCTCATCTAAATATGACGTTAATTCTGAATCGCAAACACATCACGGTACATTATTTTTCATGGCCCCCGAAATATTCAAAAAACAGAAATATAACCCACTCAAAGCCGATATTTGGGCTATAGGTGTGACATTTTATTATATGGCAACTCATTCTTTTCCATTCTTCTCAACAAATATTTTACAGTTCATCAAAATTGTCAACAATGGTTTATATCCACAGTACAAGATCCCCAATATAGCCCTCCAAATGGTCATATCTAGGTGCTTGGAAATAAATCCTGACAACAGACCCACAATTGATGAACTTCTCAGAATGCCATATTTTGAAATTTACAGATCTCAAAGATCGTTCAAGTCTGAATTGCTTCAGAATACTCAGTCCCAAAATGCTATCATTGTTAAACCAGTTTTAACAAGATATCATCAGATCGGATCAGAGCATGTATCTGTTGTTACATATCAAAAGAAGAGGAGTGTATCCAACGCTTTTGATGTTAAGAAGATGATTAGTGGAAAATAATTATTTTGTAATAAATATATTTGCTATTGTTTGTTTAATCAAATGTTTCGTATTTGTTCTTCAGAAATTAATGAATCAAGTTATGAAATATATGTTGTTTGATAAATCAAATGAAATGAAAACAAAATTTGGCATCTCAAAGAAATTACTTTATAAATTGTGATAATGATGCTTCCTTTTAATTGTGCAATAATGCCGGGTAGAATTTTATTGAAATCCGAAATAAATGCAGAGATAGCTTGAATCGGTCTATGTGAGTATGCATTATATTAAATTGCGTCTAAGAAAATAAAGAGTATATGAAAAAGTAAATCTGAAAAAATGAAAATTAATTTCTTGTTTCAGAAAATTATCCATAACCCATATTATATGCAAAGCACAATGAGTTCTATAATATTAAAGCGATTATTCTGTTTTTATACGATAAATTTACAGGTCACGAAAATTTTTCTAATTTATTACTTTTACTAATTGTTATTAATTCTAGAATGGATTTCCTCAGACTGAAATTTCTGTCAATATAATCCATATTCAATTTTTTACATTTTGTCATATCGATATATTTTATTGATTTATGCATATTTAATTGAAAAAATTTTGCGAATTTTCAATTCAAAAGATATAAATTGAAAAGATTGTAAAATACATAAAATATTTTTTGAATATTTTATAAATATAAATATTCATGAACTGCATCGAGATTGATTTTTTTAACAAAGAACGAATTAAATTCGAAAATGTCATTGGTGTCGGTGGTTATGGAGTGCTATACAAGGTGTATTCGGAGCAATACAAAATATTCTTTGCAATGAAAAAAATTCCTGAAAAACTTTTTAACAAATTAGAGGTTGATTGTTTAATATCCATTGATAATCCTAATGTTGTAAATCTCTATAAGTCATATAAATCAAATGGCTTCATTTACTTATTATTGGAATATTGCCCACTTGACTTAGATAGACTGTTGCATGGAAACACACTTTCTAATGAAGAATTGATTAAATATACTTATCAAATGATTCTTGGCATCAAAGCTTGTCACGAAAATAATGTTGCACACGGTGATATTAAGCCATCAAATTTTCTAATTGACAAATATGGAAGGATTAAAGTTTGCGATTTCGGATTATCATCATACTTAAATCAGGAGAGCAGAATGTCAAATTTCAGAGGAACATTATTATTTATTGCTCCAGAAATTCTTAAACAAGAAGAATTTTGTCCTGTAAAGGCAGATATTTGGGCTCTTGGAATAACAATTTACTTAATGGCAACACAAAGATATCCGTACGAAGGCCATACAAGCGAAGAAGTGTTAAAGCAAATAGAATCAAAAAAGATTTCGTTGAAACATATTAAGAACGAAGTTATTAGTAATATAATTAGCAAATGTTTGCAAATCAAGCCCAATAAAAGAGCAACAATAAATGATCTGCATAAAATTATATCTAAGGAACCATGCATAATTAGAAATCCAAGATCAACCAGGAGAGAAAAAGTTTTGAAAAATTTTGTGATTCGCAAGCAATATCATGATGTTTCTTGTTAATATTCATTATAACTATGTTTGTTTTGTTTGAATAATAAAAATTATTATTTGTTTCTTTATTTTTCATTCTCCTGAATTAAATCCTGTGAATATATCTATATGATCAATGAAAATATATATGTGGCATCCCATATTGCTAAGCTGATAATGCATCATGCTGGAATCAGAAAAAATGAAAAGATTTATCATTAATATGAGAAAAAACGGAGCCATTATTATGAAATCCGTTATTTCTCTTGTTTATCTATGTAAGTAATGAAATTCCAACAATGGCTGTATAATTGAGAAGTAAGTAGTATATAATACGGGTTTTGTGACTTTTTTTGTAAACGTAAGAATTCATACAATATCGAGTGATTTTGTATCATTTTTTTTAACATATGAAGTAAAAAATGTATGATTCTTACGGTTTTTATTCTTACGTTTTTGAATAAATCGTGATTTAAAAAATTTTCAAAATTGTAAGACATTTACACTAAACCCATACATAATGAAATAAAAAAAATAAAAAAAATAAAAAAATAAACTTTAAAAATTCATGTCTTACATTTTTGAATAATTTATTTTTTTTAATTTGTATGAAAATGAGTGTCAAGACTAACGACGTTAAAAAATTGGGATTCACAAATGAGGAAATAAAGGATATATTAGAGGAAACGGGTTATGAGGTTAGTAAATATTATTTAAGAAATTGTCAAAAATTCGCGGAGTTTTTAAATGAGTTTGATTATGATGGAAAAATGAATAAAGATGATGTTATAAATTTCTTATATCCCACATCTGAAGAAGAAAAACCTAAAGAACCTGATGTTTTCCCTGAATATTATGAAGAACGGATTAAAGATGATGAATATGATGAAATTGAAAGACTGGAAAAAATAAGAGATGAAATAGATGAAAAAATTAAGGAATTAAGAGAAGTTGAAAAATATAATGAAAATGAAGTAGAGGGTTTAATGAATATCCCAGCTTCAGAATCAGCAGTTCAAAAATCTCATGAAGAAAGATATAAAAATTATGTCTCAGAATCAACACAAAATTTATTAGATGGTGAAATAGATGAAACACTTTCAGAAGAAGGTACTAAATTTATTCGTAAACATAAGTTACAATTTATTGATAATGAAAAATACCCTTGTATCTTACTTTCACCCCTCTCGATTCTGAGAAATTCAAAAAAGCACTTAAAAACGTGACATATGCAACTAAATACGATTAAGAAAGAAGACCATGATATTTACACAAATTATTATTTAAATAAATGCACAGGTGTTGATAAAGTTTTTGATTTATTAGATAAAATATCAAAAGAAACCATTGGAATATAAAATTTTGTGTGATTGTGGTTTCATTATTGAAGATACCAATAATGTTTCATATGAAAGAACAGCACCGAAGGAAGATGAAGTGGAAAGGTCTATACCATTCGTTATTAAGAATATAAAAGATATGAAAACGTATAAGCATTATATTTATTCATTTATTTCAGAAAAAATGGAAGCAACCCATAAAACATCTTCTCATCATTTTATAGCTATTCATACATTCCTTTTCAAAGTTGTGAAATTAAATAAGACAGGAATTAGATTTAATGTATCAGGGTACGCATTCTTGAGTAAATTAAAATGTATTCGTCACGTCGCAGATGATAAAAATTTATGTGTTCTTAATTCATTTTATGGACTTTAGCCCTGGACTTTAAAAAATAAACTTTATTTTTATTTATTTTTTAATTTTTTATTCTTACATAAATGAACAAAAACGGAACAGCTAAAATGAATGATAATCAAATTAGAGCAGAAGGTAGAAGGTTATTTAAACGCTTCTATAACATTCCTGATGGTGTTAATCCTAAAACTCGTAGAAGCTATTTAAATGAAGCAATAGATGCATATGAAGGGTTTGACATTTCATCAGAAAGTGAGAGGTTAGCAAGAATGTTAAACGTTAATATTGATTTTTATTATTGTGACCCTCAACCAGAAGACGTAGACATTAACAAGGTAGACTTTCCATTAGTGGAATCAATAATGATAGATCCAGAATTTGAAACAGTAAATATTTTATTAACACAGAGTCCATGTGGAAAACTTCACGCTGACAGAATTACAGACGTTGAAGCACTCACTGGCTATAAAGTTTGCCCATATTGCAAAGAAGAAGTTTATTCTATCCGTGATGATCCAGAAAGGAAAAACCAAAGAAGATTTTTAAAACATTGTGAGAAATGTAAAGAAAATAATGGAAGATTAATTCAAGACGTTCAATTGCAAAACACACAACAACCATATGCACCACATATCACGAAACAGAAGATATATCAATGGCTATTAGCACATAATTTGCAGGAATATTATAAACCAACAAGATATTATATTACTTTTGACTTCGAAACATTAGAGACTAAAGAAGAACTTCAACTTTCTGAATGTGCAACTTTGAACGCTTACTTAAAACCATTTATGGTATCATCAACTGTCAAATAAAGCCGCAAAGCGGCGAGGTCGTAGACCGTGATAAAACATTTACGAGGAATTTTTGCTTAACATCAAGTGATTCTTTTATTTCTGATTGGATTGAATTTTTATTTTCAACCTGTTCATTAGTTGCTAAATCAAATATTGAACAATATGAAGAATTAATGAATCCGCAAACGGACCAAACGGCGGGGACTTTGTCTCATACATTAAATGAGAAACAAAAGGAAGCAATGAAAGAGCTTTTAGATGAAGAATTTAATAAAGTGAATATCATAGGTTTTAATTCGGGAAAGTTTGATTTAAATTTAATTCTTCGTGATTTAAACACTGCAAAATGGAAAATAAAATCAATGCTGGGTTCATCTTCTCAATTTAAGCAAATCATTGTAAAGAAAACAAACTGTCCATATGAATTAAGATTTATTGACATCAGAAATTATATAGCGGGTGGGACATTAGACCAATTCACTCAAGATTTCGGAAACAATAAATCACGTGTTAAATCCTTTTTCCCTTATCAATTCATCACGTGGGAAAATTACGAAGATGAATTATATAAAAAGGAACCATTCACGAAAGATTCATTTTATTCAGCATTAACTCAAGAAACTATATCAGATAGTGATTATCAAATATATCTCAATGATGCTAAAAATTTTAAGAATAGATTAGAATATTTTATTCATTATTGCAATAAAGACGTTGAAATTATGATTGACCCAATTGATAAAATTATTGAAGAAACATTTGTTTATAAAATTGACATGCTTCATAATCTTTCTTTATCATCGAATGCATCAATGATTCGTTACGCTTTAGCATATAAAGACTTTAATCCTAACGAAAAATATCCAGAAGAAGAAAATGTGGAATCAAGTTTTGAATTAACGAAAAAGTATTGGAAATATAAAATTGAATCATATAAGAAACAAGATGAAAAAGCAGAAAGGGATACTAAAAATAATGTTTCAATGGATGACTATCAATACTATCACGATTTAATCCTTTCATCTAAATGCAAAATGTGTGGTAAAGCGTTTACATATGCTAATAAACCAACATTGGATAGAATCGATAATGAAAAACCACATACCAAAGAAAATTGTCAGTTAATGTGTTGTTATTGCAATGTCGTAAAATCAAATAAAGATGAAGATGTTCAACGTTTAAGAATCAATTTAAGAAATTATACATTAAAAAATAATTTACCAATGACTTTAGATTCAGTTGAAGCTTATCACATTCTCCGTAATGGAATTACTGGTGGTTTATCAAATGTTCAACATAGAGTAAATCTTAAAGGAATCACGCACATTAATAAAATTTCATATAATCCAGAAACTAAAACTGTATCAAATGAGGACACCACCAATATCATGACTCATTTTGTTGGTGTTGATTTTAATTCATTATATCCTTCATCATTTTCATCTAATCCTCATGATTTCATTCAATATACTAACCATAAAATGTATATGCCGGGAAGATTGAATGGTGTTATCATTTGTGATACAGCAACAAAGAAAGCAAAAGCACTGGGAATAATTAGAAAGAAAAATACTTTATTCGTGGCTGAAGTAAAGGGTCACATTGATGAAAAATACATTAATGATTACATAAACTTTTTACCGATAATAAGAAACTTAGATATTATCACAGATGAAAAAACAATTGGCGGTTTTATGTATAATTACATGAAATCAAACAATCTACCAGTTGACCAGAAACAGAGGAAATTAACTCAATTAGCATCAACACACAACCAATATCAACCATTTTCTTCTTATTATCTTTGGTATCTAATAGACAGATTTCATTTTATCATTGATGATATTCAATCAATTTTAACATTTACGAAAAACACTTGCTTTAATGAATTTGCGAACGAATTTATGAACGAAAGACAAAAGGCTGAATTAGAAGGAAATAAAGGAAAAAGTTTATTTTGCAAGATTTCACTTAATGGATCATATGGTTACGATGCAATGAATACACAAAATTACGCAAAGACTAAAATAATGAATGCACAGAAGGCACGCGTTGCATGTATGTCAAATAAGTTTAAAAACATAAGAGAAATAGGTGAAGATACGTATCAAGTGATGCTTAAAGATAGATTTTATAGATGTGATACATGTTTACAAGAGGCATTCTTCACTTTAGATAACGCAAAATACTGGTATTTGGTTTTCATTTATGATTTTATGTATAAATGCATGAATGTTAATCGTTTTCATTTCATTGAAGGTGATACTGATTCATCTTATTGGGCAATCGCTGGCGACCCAAATCTTCCTAACACTCAAGCATTTCAAGCAATTGTTACTGATAAACAATTTTATGATAAAAACATTTACAAATTCGCACCTTTTGATTTCTTTTGTTTTAATGAGAAATTTAAACCTAAATTAAAGAATAAAGCTGAAGAAAAAGCACATGAGAAGAAGTTATTGGGTTTAGCAATTGAGAAACAAGGTGATAACATGGTTGCTTTATGCCCCAAGTGTTATACATCATTCAACGGTTCAATTGAGAAGGAAATAAAGGAAAAAGTTTATTTTGCAAGATTTCACTTAATGGATCATATGGTTACGATGCAATGAATACACAAAATTACGCAAAGACTAAAATAATGAATGCACAGAAGGCACGCGTTGCATGTATGTCAAATAAGTTTAAAAACATAAGAGAAATAGGTGAAGATACGTATCAAGTGATGCTTAAAGATAGATTTTATAGATGTGATACATGTTTACAAGAGGCATTCTTCACTTTAGATAATGCTAAATACTGGTATTTGGTTTTCATTTATGATTTTATGTATAAATGCATGGATGTTAATCGTTTTCATTTCATTGAAGGTGATACTGATTCATCTTATTGGGCAATCGCTGGCGATCCAAGTCTTCCTAACACTCAAGCATTTCAAGCAATTGTTACTGATAAACAATTTTATGATAAAAACATTTACAAATTCGCACCTTTTGATTTCTTCTGTTTTGATGAGAAATTTAAACCTAAATTAAAGAATAAAGCTGAAGAAAAAGCACATGAGAAGAAGTTATTGGGTTTAGCAATTGAGAAACAAGGTGATAACATGGTTGCTTTATGCCCCAAGTGTTATACATCATTCAACGGTTCAATTGATGGAAGTGATTTTAAAAAGATTGCACAAAAAATGAAAGGAGTTAGTTTACGACAAAATAAACAATTAACACCTAAAAATTATTTGGATATAATAAATGATAAAGTGATATTTGATGGTCAGAATATTAATTTACAACTTAAAAATGGGTCAATGACTCGCTTAACAATTGGTAAGACTGCATTAACAGGAGCACACACTAAGGCTGTGTGTTGTGAAAATGGATGTTGTATGCCATTTATTTAATAAAATGCCACAGAAGAGACAAAAGGAACCGTTAATGATGTTTTTGATACTATGATTCAAAGAGGTGGGCACCCTTAAAACATTTATTTTATTTTTATATAAATGGATAACTCAGATTTAGAAAATTTAATTGATGATTTAGTACTTAATCAAAAATTTCTTAGTTATTATGAATTAAAATCATATCTCCAAAAATATAATAATAATATAACGGGTGATGATATGGGATATTATTATCCATATTATAAAAATGAAATTTTGAAATATCATGATAAAATAATTTCTAAAATTAAAGACAAAATTAAAAATAATGAATATACAAAGGGAAAAACTAAATCACAACTGAAACAATTGAAAGATTTTAAAAATAAAGTATTAACAAAAGAAGATATTGATGAATTATATAAATTATATAATCCTGAGCCGCAAAAACCAAAGCAAAAGGAGCAAAAACAAAAGGTGCAAAACACCCAGGTCCTTCAGACCATAAATGAAGCACAAGCTTTAATTTATGATTCATTAGTTAAACCATATTCAGCCCGACTTTTAAATGAAGATCAACTTTTGGAATTCATCCTTCAACATAAACTCGAAGCGGGAAAGTATATTAAACCTTTATATACAGCATATTTAAAACAAATGAATAGAATACATCCAGAATTAATGAAGGAAGGAAGGAATTCCAAAACTTCATCATCCAAAATCAAAGCAGATAAAATTAAACCACTTGCAACACTAAAACCACCTCCTCCTTCAGTTAATCCTTCATCATTCACTTTATTATATCCATTTCAAACATTAAAGAAACAAAAAGATTTTAAAAAGGATTTCAAGATATTAAATAAACCAATTGACCCAAAAATTCAACCGTTAAAGGAAAAATTTAGTCGCCCTTCATTTGCACCATATCCATATTCATATGAAATCGATCATTTAGAATATTCAAAAGGAAAAGTTACTTATTTATTTGCCATTAACATTAACACTAGATATTTATATTGCATTCCAGTGAAAGGGAAAACAGAACAGGAAACAAGAAGAGCTATTCAATACTTACTAGATCATGAAAGAGTAGATAATATAAGGGGTGATGGTGATAAAGGATTTCAGGCAGCTATAGCTCATTATTTCCCACAAATTAATTTTTACTTTTCATCCTCTCCATATACGTTTCATAATAAAATAGTTGATGCGGTAATGAGAACTCTTAGAGATGCGTTAGGGGTTAACGGTCAGATATACTGGGATGGAAATCATGACTCCATCATACAACAGTTAGTATATTATTACAATAATACATGGCATAGAACAATAAACATGAAACCGGTGGAAATGAAAAATGATATTTCAAAAGAATGGGAATATATTAGAAAGCAAATGGAAAGGTTGAATGATGTTAAACGTGAACAAATTAATTCGGGGCTCATGAATTTTAAACAAGGGGATAAAGTTTTGATTCATCTCGATTATGGAAAAACTGATAAATCAATGACAAAAAGAAGACGAAGATTTGACACAATAGCTGAATTTGTTAGATATATTAACGGCAATGCATTAGTTGAGGTTAACAATAAATTAATAGAAATTCCGATTTATTTTATTACTCCATTATATTTAAATAATATTTAATTTTTTTTATTTCGTAAGAAATGAGTGACAACGAAGCATCCAAGAGTCCAGACAATGAATATAAAAAGAAACTAAACAGAATTAAATCAAAAATATGCTATTACAAAAAGAAGCCACAATGCGGTGGGGTTGAAAACGATAAAGAGAGGAAAGAAATAATCGAAAAATTAGAAACTTACCGTTCAATCCTTAAACTGAGTGAAGCAAAAATAAAAGAATTTAATAGAATAAATAAATTGATTGGAAGAGATGAATTTAATAAAGATGAATTTTTAAACTCAATCCAAATTTAATTTTTATTCCTCTTCGACAACATCTCTCTTTCCATCATTACTGCATAACCACATTTTCTCAATTTTAGTGGTTTGTTATTTTTAACATGTTCTTGCATCATTTTTATCATTTCCTCCCTTGTTATGATTCGTGGTAAATTTTGAGCTTGTGGGGTATTCATTTATGATAAAATAAAAATTTGTTATCACTTATTTTATCGTTAATGTTTTTAGGTTATTCAATAATTAATTATTGAATGACTGGGAAATAAATTTACGTCAAATATGCAATTTATAAAATCTTATGTCGACAGGCTACGTAGCACAGTGGTCTAAGGTGGTGTTATGGGGGTTAGGGTCTGTGGTTCGAACCGCGACAGCGCCGTATTTTCTTATTTTCTTTGTTTGTCTTGTTTGTCGTGAATAAAAAGTGTCATAAAAGTGCTCTATCTTCCACGGGAATAAATAAAAAATTTACTTTATTTCTTCTTTATTTCTTCTTTATTTCTTTGTTCCCGTGGAAGAAGGGTTTTGCTGTTTTTTCTCAGCCAAAATCAATGATTTTTTCATTTTTGGAATCCTTAGCGAATGAGGAATCTTTTCTCTCGTGGAAGCTTTGAACAAAAATATATTTAGTTCATCATTGAACTCTATACCATGCGAATACAGTCATAAATGGTGGCATGTAATCTTTACTTTGTCCCGTTGTTTGTGTATATCCTGAAACGAAATGTGTATGGTTTCCTTCTCCCTGAGTGTCACTCCAGTAACAATTTATGGCAAACTTAACGTTGTCTTTAACATCATATCCTTTACCTTTTGTCATTCCTGACCAATCCCAATATCTATGCTTATGCCAACCCGCTTGAGATGTACTTAAATCTATGTAGTGACTGTGTGCAGGTAAATTTTCACCTGTAATCGTTTTACTTCCCCCTGTTTCCTTTGAAGAGTTTGCACAATACAAAAACCTGTCGACTATTTGTTCCCATGCACCAACACCAAACATTGCTTGAGGACCTCTCACATCCATAGATGTATAAATAGAACCTACTGGGTTCATTAAATCAAACATATGAGATAATATAGGATTGTCTCTTTTGAACTTAAAATATAGTGTAACTATTTCTGGTTTCTTCTGGTTTGTGTCAGAATATTTTTTATAATATAATCTTATGTTTTCGGGGTAGGTAAAGTCTTGACTATAATATTTATTTCTGTCATCTTCATAATAGTATACTATTCTCGTTTTTTCTATTGCATTATATCTTTTATATCTATAATATTCTAAATATAATGTTTGCTTTTTTGGGTCTACATGTGCGTCAACACCATAGTCATAATAATACGGTGCTGGAGCTACGTTAGACAATGTCATATCTGTCATATCTGTCATTTCATAAACTCTTAAATATTTCTTTTGTTCGTCTCCATATAAGTTTAAGTAGCAGTTGTTGTCTAATGGAACTTTAACTTGTGTACCATCATTCTTTATATAGCCTACATACATTTCATTGTTATTTTTCGGAATGAGTTTATACCGTATACCATTTTTTAAGGAGTGTACAAACTCCCATCTAAAATATTTATTTTCTTCATAGACGGAAAAGTCACCAACAATAGTTTCAATATTTTTAGTTGTTCCTATCAAACTTTGGTATATTTCATTCACATATGTTTTATTTGCTTTCTTCTCAAACTCATCGTTAACATAAGTTTTATCTGCTTTAAGGTCTAAACATTCTGAAACCCATCCTGTATCAGCTTTAGTTTTAAGAATCTTCGATGTCCGTCCATGATACCATTCAACCCTTTCTATAATTTCATTATCTTTTTCATTAACATATTCCTTATCTGCTTTCTTCATTAACTCACTATCCACAAGTCCCTTATCTGCCTTCTTCATTAACTCACTATCCACAAGTCCCTTATCTGCCTTCTTCATTAACTCACTATCCACATATTCCTTATCTGCTTTCTTCATTAATGCACTATCCACATATTCCTTATCTGCCTTCTTCATTAACTCACTATCCACATATTCCTTATCTGCCTTCTTCATTATGTTATTTAGGAAACCTTCTATGAATTCCTCATTTAAATTAAATCTTCCAATCTTCAAAACTTTAGGAAATGCATTTAATGCGTAATATCTCTGTTCTTCTGGTGGAATTGATGTTATATCATCCGTTATTCCTTTAATTTTTGAATTCATAAATAAAATTTCTTTTATATTTGATATCACTGCACCACCTTTGCAAACGAATTCGAAATGGTCATTTTTCAATACTATCTCCAAATCTCCATATTTCAACCTTTGCGTTTGTTCTGCCGTCTTTGAATTATATGCATATGTGGCGTAAGTAATGGTCTGTGCCTTAAGTTGCTGTGGTTGCTGTTGTTTAATCATTTATTATGATTTAAAAATAAATATTTAATCTGTTATCTCATCAGCTATTTTTTCTATTTGAAATTGCCATAATATTTCATTCATAAATTCTAAATCACAATCAAATAGGTCAGTTATTCTAAATTTAATATTTGATAAATCTTTTGAATGAAGAATAAATGAATTCCCGGATAATTGAAACGGATATGATAAAGAAAATGTGTTTAAGTTGATGGATAAAATGTTTTGTATTGATGGGTAAGAGTTAGGGTCTAATGTTTGATGTGAAAATCTCATTGGGGTATTAACTTTATCACATTTGATTAAAATGAAATTGGAACCAGTGTCAGAATACAAAACATCCCCAACATCTTTTTCAAAATTTAATATCCCCAACAATGAACGAAGATGAGGAGTACAAAATTTAATTTTCAGCGGAAATTTAATAAGGTTATTTATTTCATCAAGTTCAAAAAGTTTATCAGGTTTTGATTTAAAATTTTCTTCATACCATACGATAAATGATTCATTTAAATAACTTAAAATTGTGTTAATATCCCATTTCGTTATCACATTATTTATATACATATCATACGTTTTTTCAAGGTCATCTTTAATAAATGATATATAATCTGAAGGGTCTAAAAGAATGGGATTAAATTTACCACTCACAGAAACGAGAGTAACATTATAAATTCCGCTAACTGTTAAATTTAATTCACAACTATTATTCGAAATAATATTGATAATTGATATTTTTTATTACGATTAAAAATATGGTAAAGCGTTATTTTCCAGTGATAAATAAAACTAGAATAAGATTACCTCAAGAATTCATAAATTCAACGAATAAGAAATTCATTCATGTTATAAATTTCAGTGTTTTCAGAAAATATGAGTCAATGTCATATTCATCATCGGGTTATATTTCACTTCATTCAAATTTAGTTCAATCAAACCCATATAATGACCATTTCATAAGATTTTCAGATGGTATTAAAAATGTAATTGATAGATTAAAATATGAACAGATTGACAATATCGAATTTTTGGAATTTTGGTTTAAATATCCTGATGGAAAAAAGATTGAAGTTAAAGATAAAGCTGATACTATAACAAAAACAATTACAATGACCGATCCAGATAGTGGAGAACAAAAAGAAATAAAACAAACGATAGAAACTGGTGAAAGGTCAATTATTATTGATTATGATTCAAAGGATTATTATTCAATAATGTTAATGCTTGAATATTAAATAGCCTTAACAAAGAATTTTTCAAGTGATATTTTATATTCATCAACTATTTTATTATAAATATCATTATATGTTAAATGAAGTTCAGTTGTTGTTCCATTCTTTGATATCTTAATTGTGCTAATATCCTTTATAGGATTTATTTTTGCAACTGTTCCGCAGCATGAAACCTCATCATCTATGAAAAATTGAATCTTAACGTCTGAATCTTGAACATCACAAAGAATGGCGATAATGTGAATTAATGATTCATAAGGTAAAATAATTAAACCGGATTGATCAATTAAATTTATTATTGAATCATAATTATCAGTTATTATATCACGGTAAATTTTCATTAATTCAGAATTAATGTCTATTTTATATGGCGCATTGCGACTGGAATCGTATATTCCTGGGTTCTCGATGTTTGATGAAAGAGGTGGGGGGTATGTTGGATAAGTGGGGATTTCAACGGGTTCTTTACCGGGTTCAGATAAAATGATTGGGTCTCCATTCTCATGGTTTTCTTCATTCTCCTCATTCTTCGGTAAGTCACGAGTTAATAAATTTGGTTGAGTTGCTGACCTTGTTAATTCAGGGCTAACATTAACTTTAACATTTTGAATAATTCGTGATTTATCATCATTTACGTTATAACCAACCGTAATCTCTGCTTTTGCGTTAGTGTTCTTTTGACTTGTGAAACGTCTTCTCATTTATAATTGAATAAAAAAGAAAAATATATTTAAAGTTTTATTTAGTTGTTACGGTAATATCCCAAGGTTCATCATTGTTTGCTTATACTTTCTTTGTAACTGCACCAATAATGTTATTGATATTGCTTTGAGTTTCTTCCAGTCTTATTTTATCATTTACAATATCTTTAATCATTTCATTACATGCATTCTTATAATCATTTGATTTCTCAAATTTTCTTTTATCTGATTCCTTAACTAAATCATAAGTTAAACCTCGTTGCTGATATAATGGTTTCTTAATTAAATCTTTGAATGCTTGAGATAAAGCACCTGATGCAATTCTTGCTACTATAATTGGTTGGAATTGCTGTTTAAGTTCATCTTTAACATTTGCGAAAACTGGATCGAATAAAGCAACTTTAAAGAATTTCTTAGCTGGAATTTCAGGTCTCAAATTTGCATATTGACCATCAAACTGATTAACATATTGTGGTAATCCATCCGGTCCTTCTTCAATAGCGTTTAATTCTTCATTGAAATAAGAATATGGATTATGACGGTATGAATTAATTGGACCATGTTCACCTTCTCCAATGTATTGTTTAACAGCTTTTCCATTTTCATCAAATTGCATAGGATAACATTCATTATATGCTTTACGTTTAGGATAATCAGATACAGTTAATTTGTAACCATTTATGACTTTAATATTACCTCGACCATCAGTAACGAAAACTTCATTTATACCATCAGGTTTTCCATTTGGACCTGTAATGTCTGCTTCATGTGCTTCCCAATTTGGACCATGACGTTTGGCATATGCTTGAGCTTCTGGTAATGTTAAAACGTTTCTCATTTGTTTAACATCTTTTTGAAGACCAGCAACAATATGAACTAATTCTTTCATTCCATCAGGAACTTTCATAGTTCTATTATATGCACCCCTTTTGTTTGTCCCTTGTTTTAATGGAACCTGTAAAAGATTTGCTATTTCTGTCATGTTTAATTATAAATAAAAAATAAAAATTAATTATAAAAAGTTAATCAAATTTAACACATCCTTTATTTAAATCAACTATTATTTTTCCATGTTCACCTAATTGTTGATATTGTGTGTAAAGTTCATTAATGCTCATTGGTAAATTCACTTGATAAAGCATAACGTTCAACTGTTGACGACTAAAACCACTGAAAATGAAAAGTGTTGATAGATTTGATTTAATGTTTGTGCTTAATGCTTTGAAGTATTGAACAGCCATGAAGAATGAACACTGAATGTGTCGACATTGAGTTAATAATTGATTAAAATATGATTTCTCATTTGTTATTAGTTTTGATTTCACCGCATCATCTAGAAAAATGAGTGAATGCAAAAATTCTCTATCAAAATTTGAAATAGAAAGTGTTTCAAATAATTCATCCCGTTGTTTATCAATAATTTTATCCTCTAATCCTTGCTTCTTGATTGTATTATATAATTCTTTATACATTAAAAAGTTTTTTAAATAATCTTCTGCTTCTTCTTGTGATAAATAAATAATTGGAATTTTGATTAAATGCTTTAAAGATTCAAATGTATCATCTGAAGGTGAACCTGAACGGTTGATATAAATTAACACATGTGAATGGGGGGAAGTGTTAGCAATAATGATAATTTGTTTTAATATCGTTAATGTTTTACCTTTATTCTGTTTACCAATTGCTGCAGTGATTGAATTTAAGTAACATTCAGAATATGGAATTTTCATTAATTTTTCCTTAGATAGAGCATTTCTATTATCACTCAATGCTTCATTAATCATATCATCTACGTATGTATTATATACTCCCGCTAATTCTTCATAAGGGGTGGATGAATTTAAATCCATTTAATCAAAAATAAATTTATAATTTTAAACATTTCTATTCATCAATATTTCATCATATGAACTTCTATACTGTGTGGTGTACCTGTTGGATGATATTTCAAACCTTCATCCGGTGTCCATGTCCAATATGTAGTCCTAGTAAACCAAACCTGAGGAGGATTTGTCACCTTTGAACAGTAAGTGTCATTTACACCCTGAATGATTGGATAAGCTTTCACTTGTACTGTAACTTGTGAGTTGAAAGTTTCTAATCCATCAAAGAATATACCCGCTCCATCACGTTGAACTGGAATAGTGCATAAGAATGAAGTTTGGTCTTTCCATGTTCTAGCTAATGGTGTGCCATCATCATCATTCAGTGGTCTAGTTAATGAGTCCTCGTATTCTTCCGTGCATTCATTCACTCCATCTAAATCAGAAGCTTGAAGCATACGTGTAAAGAATATGTCACCCACTGTGGTCATCGCTTGATCGGGGAAGTTTCTGGAATCTATAGTGACCTGAAGACCTCGAAGCATTGGATTTTCTAAAACTGTTCTTTGCATTGCATTCTTCGGAAATGCTAACACAACATCTGTAACATTATGAAGAGCGTATGAGAAATCTGAGCTAATACCTTCAGGAGTGATGCAACCTCCATTTAGTGAACGAACGTCAATATGTTGAGCTGGAATCATGAATGGATCTTCCTTACTGAATAAACGTGGTATTGCTTTAACTGATTCTTCAATTAAACCGTATCCTGGTGTAATGCATTTATCCTCTAAAACTTCCATCTTTGTGCATGAAATAATAACATCATCAACTGTTGCGTCAGCAGATGTAGAGGCTAAGCCTGTAATTAATTTGGCAGGAAGTCCGATTTGTTGGAATTTGCGATCATATTTATAAACATGATTCATAATCTTTTCATAATTTTCATCAGTTATCTTTTCATAAACGTAATTTTGTAAATCAGCAACTCTTAACGGGTCAACCTGACAAAATACTAAAGTATCCCTGAAAACATAATATTTAAGAATGATTTCACCAAATGATTTAGGATAATCATCGAACGCCTGAAATGCTAACAAATCATTTACCGGAATAATCATATCAAAAGTGACATCAACTTCTTCATTTGCTTTCTTGAAAACTTCTGAAGGGTCAATATATTTACCACATACTGAGTTATCATATTTTTGAACATTATTATATAACGAATGAACAAACTTTTTAACTTTCCTTTCTGATTTTGGTTTATATGTTGCAAATGCGAAAGATTCACGGGCACAATCCATCTGAAGATAACCAGCATCACCTCTTTCGGTTTCTACTTCTAATTGTTTAAAGCTTTGATTTGATGATTTGTAACCAACGAATAAACGCATGCATTTAAAAGCGGCATCACATGTGAAAGCTTTATTTGAAACTAGAGTTGCTTTAACTTTGCGTTTAATATATGTGTCACCTAATTGATTCACATCATGAGCCGGATTTGTAATTCTTAAATGAGTTTGTTTATCATCAAAATATGGAGCATCAGAGTCATAGCATGAACTTTCAAGTTCTCTATAATATCTTCTACCGTCATTCTTTGCGAATATTTCATTTATCTTTTCGAATGAATGAAACACATTTCCATTAATCGGTTTAGTGTTTGGCACCAAATAGTTAGTCGTCATTTATTAATAAATAAAAAATCAAAATTAAAAGATGAAAATGAATTTTTAATTTTAATGAAATAATCAACTATGGCTGCAGGTATATTTAAGAAACTGTGGGATAAAGTAAAAAGAGGAGCGAGTAAAGTTTGGGAAACATTGAAGAAAGGAGCAAATTGGATATTTAAGAATAAAGAAGCAATTAGTGACGTTGCTGAATCAATAACACCAAAAGCCGCCCCAATAAGAGAAATATTAAATAAAGGAGAAAAAGTTTATCAAAGACTTCAACCGATACTAAGATAAAAATAATATTTATTTTTCCACTATCTACCCCCTATTTTATTAAGTATTCCTTCAGCAATTCCACCAATTGCGTTACCTGCTTGTGCTCCCATCGCCGGATTACCTGCTTTAGTACCTAATACTCCACCTATGATAGTTCCTGCCGTTTTCGCTACTGGTGCCAAAAAGTTTGCAACAGGTTTAATAACCTTTTTATAAACCCAACCTGCAGCTTTCTTAATTCCATCCCATAATTTTTTAAAGAATCCTGCCGCCATTTCTGATTTAATAAATTATAAAATATATTTCATCACTTATATTCTAATTTTTATTTAATGATAAATGAAACCAATTTTAAAAATAAATGAAACAGAGGAGGAAGAAATAAATGAAAGTGAAAATGTTCAACAAAAAATAAACGTTGTTAAACCAATTACTGAAATAAAAATTTTTTCATCTGTTGATGAATTTAATGACTATTATGCTAATAATAAAAAATTATTTGAAGAATTGACAACGTGTAAATTGAATAAAATGTTTAAAGTTGATGGATTCAAAATTTCAAAAATAAAAGGAGTGGTTAGTTTGAAATCTATTCCTCAATCAAGAATCACCTCATTAATGAAAATTGATGATTTAACAAAAAGAATAGAAATTATTGAAGAGCGAATAAATCAAATTATTGATTTCATAAATCATGACTCGTTGAGCCCGTGTCCTTAAAGCTCAAGGCACAAAGTGCCCAGGACTTAAAGTCCATCACTGAGTTCAAGGTTATATTCATCAAATATTTCATTATTAAATGCAACTTCTGCTAGTTTATTTATTTTTTCAATACGATCATTTGAAAGTCTATCGTTTAATTTTTTCTGAAGTTTTTCATTTTCTAGTTCTGAAACTTTATTTGGATGATATTTAAACCCGTTAAATTCTTTTTCCTCAGTTTTGATCATTAATTTACAAAGAACTTTTGTGGTTGGAATTTGTTTAAACCATTTATCATTAATATTTGTTATATATTCAATATCTGGAATTAATTCCCAAATTTTTGCATTTTCAATTAATTTATTATCAAATGCAAAAGCAATAGGTTTAATATTAAACTTACCTTTATAATATAAACTTTCTACATAATCATCGAAATAAACATCTACTTGTTTAACATTTTCAAGAATTGGTGAAAGAGCATCCATTAATTGATTGACGGTTACGAATCTTGATCCACTCATTTTCATACAAATTAAAAAAAATAAATTATTCAAAAATGTAAGACATGAATTTTTAAAGTTTATTTTTTTATTTTTTTTATTTTTTTTATTTCATTATGTATGGGTTTAGTGTAAATGTCTTACAATTTTGAAAATTTTTTAAATCACGATTTATTCAAAAACGTAAGAATAAAAACCGTAAGAATCATACATTTTTTACTTCATATGTTAAAAAAAATGATACAAAATCACTCGATATTGTATGAATTCTTACGTTTACAAAAAAAGTCACAAAACCCGTATTATATACTACTGAAGTAAATTTTGACGATGAATAAAAAGGAAGCAGAGCTCCCTGCCAATAGAAATCCTGACCTTCAAAAGAACGTTATATATCATGAAAGTAGATTCTGGCAAATATTAAACGAGATTGAACTTCCTCTTATTATAATCTTGCAAAAATTATTTTTCATCCAAAAAACATATGACTTCTTTAATAAGAAATTTTCAGCCATTGCTTCATCAAAGCTTATGTCATACATGCCGCTCATTCTATTAGGTCTTGGAAAAACTTTGGAAGCGAGGCATTTTGCAAAATCAGCAGTACTATATGCTTTATTATCAAGCTTAGGCAAAAACACATTCATCAGAAGACGACCTGGGAGTTTTGCAGGTGTTTACTCTCCTGACTGTGCAACAACTTCTTCATTTCCAAGTAGACATGTTATGGCAGCTTCAATTATCGCTAGTTTTACTCCAATCAAAACTATACTAATGATTGCTGTCATATTTGACCGTTTAGTTATTGCAAATCATTATCTTACTGACTGCTTATTTGGAATGGGATTTGGATTTGCATGTGTTTATATGGCAAATTTATACGATGAAAGCAGCTTAATAATATGTCTTGCAGCATTTAGTGTTTTTATTTGGAAAGGAGGAGCCAAAATTATCGGTGGATGCATCCCTATAGCAGCATTTAGACTAGAACGTAATTTAAGTGTTCTCGTTTTTCCTTTAATTTTCTTAAGTTCCATTTTTAGAGATATAGCTCATAAAATGAATCACGTTAAAAAGGAACCATTTCATGATGCATGCTATATGTTATTTGCTCAAAGTGCTGTACTTTATCTGATGATCATCTCTGATTCATTTTTGAGAAAGTATATCACATCAGATATTCATGATTTAGGATCTATACTAGCAATTGCTCGTTCATGCTTTGCATCATCAGCTGAATCGAATTTGTAACTTTTAAAATAATTATAGATCAAATTTAAACATTGAAATACTACTTCTTTTGTTCAATAAAATAACAATATTATACTCTCTCCAGGAAATAATTGTTTTTTTAAATATTTCATTTAAAAAGCGTTGGTTCTTAAATTATTCACTTTGAATTCATTCTGATTGAAATAACCAAATTGTCTAAGGTAATAATACATCAATGTGAGTATTTTGTTGGAGAAAACATGAATTGATTGGACGGTTTAATGCTTTTGGAGCGCGTAGCTAGTATTCTCATTTGTTGATTCAGGTATATGAGTGTATTGGAGCTAAGTTAGATTACCAACAAGGAAAGAATAAAAGGATATCTATTGATATCAACTTTTTTGGCAAACAAATATGTATTTATGGCCAAATAAATCCATTCGATGTATTTACATTTGCCGAAATTGGCGCAAAACGTTATTTATTTTTATTTTTATTGATTCGAATAAATTTGAACAGTTCTCAAAAAGTGATAAGATGATTTGTTCTTTGAATCCTTAAAATAATATCCTGAAATAAAATTTTCAACTTTGGAATAAAAGTACGGTAAAACTTCCGAGTCAATTTTGGATAAGTTTTGATAAAAAAAAGTCAGATTCTGAAATTTCAATTGGTTGAAATGAATTCTCACAAGAGACATCAACAAAGTGAATGTTCGGAAGTTGATTATCGTGGACAAAACCTCTCCAAAATTCCATCGCATCAGCATTTAATTGATTGCTCTTCAATTTTGCTCCAACATAATAATATTTCTTCGTTTAAAGGTCTGAAAACAATAAACGGACTTAAGAAACTATTTCTTGATTCAAATAATATTAGTACTTTCAAGCATGCAGCTCCTCAACCATCTCTATCCGTTTTATCATTATCTAAAAATCCTATTTCTTCCGAAAAGTACCTTGGATTGATGTCATTTATCGTTTTTGGTGATAACCTAAAGATGATTAACCATAATCCAATATCTTTTGAGGAAAGATCGTGAGGAAAAAAACTTCGTCCTTTAGTCTTAAAAGATCTCCTTAATGAATGGATGATACGATCATTAAATCCTATTATACTTGCTGATTCGAATTCTCTTTTGGAGAAGAAAATTGACATTTCACAATTGGATCATTTTTCAAGAAGTTCAAAATCATCAAACGGGAAAAGTTCACCATCAGATCATAAAAATGATGACATCCAAAAGATTGAAATCAAAAAATCACCCGTTCTCGAATTTAATTCAAATAATGAAGAGAAAAGCCCTTTCTTAGAGATTCAAAATAAAAATTCACCAAAAGCATCGAGAACTTCTCGTTCTCGTTCTCATATTTATGATGCACCACAGTTGAAACTAAGTAGTTTTATAAATTATCCAGAAGCAAAGAATTTTTCTCCTAAATCTAAGAACAGTTTGCTCGAGTTATTTAATCTTGACAATACCAATTTAGAGAAGAAGCAAAATAAGCAAAAAATTGATCATTTAGAGTTAAAATCTAAAGAAAGTGATCATAACTCTGGATTTGACAATGAATTATCTCTTTCTATACCTTATTATGAGAACCTTCCTCTTGAAACACTAGCTTTCAAAGAAAATTCAAATCATGAATCCGATCAATCGAAAAATTGTTTGAATTCTGACGATTCTTTAACATTAATTATGACAAATAACGAAAATAGTAAAAAGAAGCATGTCCCACCTCCGCGCTTGAACTTTTCGCCAATTTCATCAGATGATTCCGACACAGAAAGCAGGGAACTGCAAACAGAAGAGCTTTATGAAAAGTTTTATAGAAAGCACAGAAATGAAATAACAACACCACATGATGCAAAGTATTATGTTCTTCAACATAAAAAAGATCGTTCAACACGAAAAATGAAAATCCGAAACGCATAATTGGAAATTGAATGCTTGTATATATAATAAAGATTTTTATCATGTAGTTTTTAATCAAATAAACTGTATTTTTAATTCAATCTACAGAAATGAACGTCAAACATGTGCAATTGTTAACTAAATGCTAAAATTTGAATTAGTAGCGTTATTGAGATGTCCCTTAACTATGAGCATCAGGAAGTGGAAAGCAATAAAAAAAAACGATTGAAATTATTTCGGTGTAAAAGGAAAGATTAAGAGAATATCGACTTTATTTTTATATCAAATATAACAGATAAACAAAACAACAAAAAATAAACAATGAATAAAATTATTGTTTCTTATCGCTAACTCTTGGCTTAGTTATTAATATATGCATTGGGTTTAACGAAGCTCTATCTAATCTGGAAGTGCATCCATATATTAATGGCTTGTAATTCAATTGGTTGAGTGAATGAGCCATCGAAATGTTTCCGCGATGAGGACGATTTCTTTTAATTGATTCGAAAAATGGCATATTCAGTAAATCATCCACTGTTGGTCTAGCAAGTGGATCAATTTGTAGGCAGCTTGTGATAACCTGTCTAAGTGCTGCTGACTCGACCTTGGAAATGGGGTACATACCAGTAGTAACCTCCTTTATGATGTCTTTTCGATCATCGCCATTAAATGGGAAGGTTTGAGTTGCCATGTAGAAGAATGTAATGCCGAGTGACCAGATATCAGCTTTTATTGAGTCATATCCTTTCTTGCATAGAATTTCTGGAGCCATAAAATAGATAGTACCGCGGAATGAATGACAATCAGCGCAATTAAAGTGCATTACTGACAGACCAAAGTCACAGACTTTAATTCTTCCGTACTTATCAATTAAAAAGTTACTTGGTTTGATGTCTGAATGAGAAATGTTTCGATCATGGCAAGCCTTAATACCTTGGAGAATTCCGTAACAATACCTTTTAAGCTGATCCTCGCAAATTTCGGATTCCTTCTTAAGAAGAGTCTCGAGATCATAAGGGCAATACTCCATAAGAAGGTAAATATATTCTTGGAATTTGTAATATTTGTACAGTGAGATAATGTTAGGGTGGTCAATTTCCATCAAGCAGTCTACTTCTGCTTTGTTGAATCTGTTCTCGGGAATTTTCTTTAATGCAAAAAATTGTTGATATTGAAGTGAAAATACCAGGTAGATTGTCCCAAAACCTCCCTTAGCTATGACGCTTTGAAATGTCATATTGTTATTTTTAAGAAACTCAAGCTCTAAAGTATCCATAAGAATTTCTGGAGAAATTCAAAGAGATCTCAATGTTTTATTTTTTTGAGATCGTAGTAAAGAAAAATGTTACAATTTAAAATCAAAATTATTTATTGATAACATTAGTTTGATAATATTGATGAAAAAAAATCAAAACGTATTCAATTTGGAATTGCTGTTGCTTTGATACGGTCAAGAATTTTTAAGTTAATATCTATTTTTAATTCAGGCAATAATGATATGGAGAACATCGAAAAATTAAAAGGAAAGAGAAAGGATAAAGAGTGAAAATTTTATTTTATAAAAATAATAATTAATGTGGTCTATCTATGATTATGAACTTATATGAAATATTTAAAAATTGAAAAATGTATCGGTTACTCAGAAAATATATGACTTTGTATGCGAACCCAAAATAATTGAATGAGTTTTCAACACAAAAAATTAACCAATCGAATGGAAAATATGAATACAATAATAATTGATATTAATCATTCAAAATTATATCTGAAATTTTACAATCTATTATTCTTGTTCTATATGTTAATTTAAAAATACACGTTTTAATGAGGACTTAATTTGAATACTTACCAAAATTGAGATAACGCTAACAATCAATTCAAAATTGTATGAGCTCCAAAATTACAAACAACAAAAAGTAATTTTTTCAAAATTCGATTAAAATAATCTTGATATCGCAATGTTTTCTATTATCTATCATATAATCATGCACTAAATATAAATAAAGTTTTAAGATTGATTGAAATTAATTGGAATATCATGAATCAAATTATTTGAGTATAGGAGATCGATATTTCGTTGGATGTTATGCTATCGCAAGATACTATGATTGTTTTTTAAAAAAATTCAATAATAAAACAAAATTGCGCCATTTTATGCCTCTAAAACCTCGGTCTGTGAAGCAACTGCCTTATATGTTATGCAATAGAGAATTAATTAAAAGGAAATCATATAAAAAAGTTAAGTAAAAGTAATCACTCTCAATTAGTGATATTTCTCAAGAGAATACTTAAACAATGGAGTATATCATTTCATGCAAATATGAATTTAAAGAAAAATTAATTTTTTCCGAAAAAATTACATACAAGCTTTATTAAATTGTGGCTTTCTTATTAACAATATTACGCATATTTGGTTTCCTGATTGGAACTAATGAGCAACGTCCAGAAGATAACTTAGTTAATCTTTGATAGGACGGTGCCATATTAAGAGCATTCTGGCTGCATGCCAATCTGATTCCTTCTTTCATTCTGAAAGCCGAAGAATTATAAGAATCGAAATATGGCATTTGGAGGAGTTCATCGATCGTTGGTCTCGCTTCTGGGTTAACTTGCAAACAAGACTGAATAAGGACTCTTAACTGTGGATTCTGTACAATGAACTGTGGATAAATACCCGAATTCAAGGATTTAATATAGACCTGCTTATCAGCAGCAAAAAATGGGAATGATCTAGTAGCTATATAGAAGAATGTAATGCCGATTGACCAAATATCGGCCTTTAATGGATTATATGGTGACTTCTTGAAAAGTTCTGGTGCCATGAAAAGCATTGTTCCACGATAGCAGGAACTCATGCAGTGTTCATCGTACATTCTTGAGAGACCAAAATCGCACATTTTGATACGACCATATTTATCTAACAAGAAATTGGATGGTTTAATATCATTATGAGCGATATTGCGATCATGGCAAGCTTTAATAGCAATTAATATATCATGCATATATCTGAGCATTTGATCCTCTGTAACATTAGTATTTCCTTTCAATAAATTGAAGAGATCATTAGGACAATATTCCATTAACATGTATACATAGTCTTCGAAGAAGTAATATTTGTATAAATTAACTATGTTGCATTGATCAAGACTTTTAAGGCAATCTATCTCGGCTTGGTTGAACTTCTTCTGAGGAATCTTCTTCAATGCAAAATAGCTCTGGTATTGGCTTGAAAAAACGAGGTATAAGACGCCGAATCCACCATTTGCAATTACTCTGGTAAACTCAATTCCTTCTTTTGCAAAGAATTCAGCTTCTTTCTCGTTCACTTATACTTTTTAAACCGAAGTAAAATGAATTTTGAAACAAAGTATAGAAAATTTAAAAAAGAATATTTACATTTGAATTGTGTGTGAGCTAAATATAATATGCATCCATTTAAATGTGTTTTATTTTCTAAATATTGAAATTGAATACTACTACCCAAATTTTGATTACTTCTAACAAAATTAAGAAGAGTGTTTATTCCATATCAACAGTAATTAGTAATGGAGAATATTTCTATCGAATTTGACTTTTATTTTTTTCCAGTTGAGCAAAAAATATTGTTTGATATTATCATGCGCATTTAAATTGCTTAAAATAAAAGTTTATTTTCTTTTCAATAATTTGTATTGACTTTTCATATCAGCGTTTCGTTTTGAGAGAAAATAAATGGTCGACCCATTCAATTTATTTTATTTTGAGTTGTGCTACCATTTATCAATTGAAAGTTCCTTAAAAAATTCGACCTACTTAGATATTGTTTTAATAATATGAAACTATGAACAATTTTGAATTTTAATTAATCTTATTTTTTTCTCAAAAAATAGCTATCTATAATACACTAAATATTCCAGATTCATTAATATCAAATATAATTTCCTTTAAGCCCAAAATCAAACTGTAGGAGATGAATTATAAAAATGTTCATTGTTTTATAAATTTGTATGTCGAATCTATTATACTATATTTTAATAGATGATTTTCAGATTCAAATCGTAATTGTCCTCAAATAATATTTAAATTAGTTCAAACTTGATATCCAAGCCTTTACCTAATTGAGATGGTTTAGAATAGTTAGTTTAATATCAATTATAAATGCCATTCTCAATATATTTAGTATAAATATCTTATTTTGAATATTCATCACTTTTTACTTTAATAAAATCAAATATTTCACATATAAAATGCAACAGTAACAGAAACAAGTATTTGAAAAGTAATAGAATATATAAATACACACAAAATTATTTAGTATAACAACAATCACAAACAATCGATGTATATATTAAAATTAATTATAAAAATTAAAGTTACTCATCGAAGTAATGAATAAGGCCGCATAGTTTTCATGTGTAATCCAAGAACTAGTCATGTTGTTTAAGCAGCCTTAAAAGCAACTAATATAAATCAATAAAGTTCAGACGAACTGTGCATATCTGATAGTAAAATGTATATTCAAGCATTTCTTTTTCATTAATATTAGATCCAGGACTAAATCCTAAATATTGTTTTGAAAAGTACAATAATTCGAAGAAACCTCTATATAATAAAAGGCTTATAGTTCTTAACGAGGCATGAAATCTTTCGACATCTTGGTCTTGACGTAGTTGATCTTGGTTTGATGACCCTTTGACAAAGTGGAATTGTTATGTCGACTTCAATACTCTTCCATTTCATTTCCTTTTTATGCCACTGCTCAACTGCGTTGAAAATATAGCTATTAATTTTGTTCGAATTAGTAATCTGCAAAATGCCGGAAGTGTTCAATAGAATGCTATTATAACAAGAGGATGAAAACACTGTTATAACGTTTCCATTGAACTTTTGTCTTAATCCATCAACACATTCGTGAGCACGAATAATTACTTTCAAATTATTTCTTCCGAGAAAGTCTTGAACGGCTTGGTCTCCATAGTAAAAACCAACACCACGAATGTTATCTGAGAAGTATGATATTTCTTCTGAAGGATCAGACCACATCATACCTGTAAGAACATTACCTTCATTTCCTTCTAAATCCATTGAGAAGATTGGTCGCTTCATTTGTGATATTTGTTCTACTTTTTCGAGTTTAGGAGCTAGTCCACCATGAACTAAGAAAAAGTGTTTATTTAAAATTGCAGCCAGAGGAAGGTATGCAAATGCTTCATTAAAGCAATCATACACGTAATCGCCATATTCTTTAGAACATTGTTTCTTGAAGCCGTAATCTTTGTTGAGACTTGCAAATTCATGATTTCCTCGTAAAAGAAAAACTTTTGTAGGGTAAGCCAATTTGAAACTGAAAAGGAGAGTTATAATTTCGATAGAAAACTCACCGCGATCGACGTAATCACCGAGAAATATATAGCCAGATGACAATGGATTTCCTGCGTAAGCCAGAATCCGAAGTAAATCGCGGAGATTACCATGCAAGTCTCCAACAATTGTATAATCACCTTCTAGATACATTAATGTTTGTTCCATTTTGAAAATTTCAGTCACTTGCGAAATTAAATTGATCAAATCTGCTTGTTTAAGCTTGGGAATTTCTAAAGATCCTGTTTGGATCTGTTGAAGAAGAATGTCATCATGAATTAAAGGCGTGTATGCATCAATGATGCTGCGGGGTAGCATTTTCAATTTTTATGAATTTTGCCATTTCAGAATTTGAAAATTCGCTAATCTAAATAGACGAACATTTTGAATGCTAATCGGCATTATAAATTTTAATTTGATTGAAAAATTAAAAGCGCTCCCAATAAAATTGAAGCAATTGGGTTTGTGCTATCAATAATTCTATTCAATTCGTGAATTCAAAATGACTATTGTTTTTATTAATTACAACAATGAGTATGTTATTTAAGATTCAATTTTCCTTTAATTCTATCGTCCTTAATAAAATGTTAATTATTCAATTTTCATAACATCCGAAATTTTAAATTCTAAACTATTGTACTTCACTTCCTATATAGATGCTAAACAATGATTTTTATAGCTTTTGAGGCATGTCACCTTTTTGACCAAAATTTAATTTCGTCTGTAAATTTTATATAAGAACCTCAATTTAAAAACAATTTTTGATAATGCAATACAATTAAAATCCCTTCTTTGAAATGATATCACTCTCAACTGATATCTTTTTTTTTATTCTGCGAAATTGAAGAATCCTTAGTTATCTAGCTTGTATTTTACCATATCACGAAATTAATATATTTGGTTTCGAATGGGTTTATAATCTATGTATTAGATAGCTCGAATAAAAGCTCTGAGATTCGATTGTTCAATAATATGCAAACCAATTCAAAATTTCCCTTAAATCTTCAATTGAGAAAGTTATTTGGTGGATTTTTATATGGTTAAAATGAAGAAAATACAAAATAATCAGTAAGGATAAAAAATTTCAAAAGGAAAAGAGTAAAATAACAAAATAATTTACAAACATAATCCGATAGACTGCTAATTAAAAGCAATCAAATAACTGGATACTAAAATAAAACAAACAAAAATATAAGAATAAATGAGAACAAATGCAAATGAGAGGATAAATTAATATAATAGTATATGTGAATATGTGCTGTATCGAGAATCAAAGCCCTTGAAATGGCAACGATGTATTGTGGATTGAAGCTTCGACTCCGCTTCGCCACATTGCATACAGCATTTGGTAGTTGAAGCATTGCTTAAATTCTTGATTTTGCTCTATTTTGAATAATAAAGGAATAGTACTAAAATAATCATGGAGCTGCTGATACCTTTCATTAACAAATTCGCGTTCTAAATTACCTATTATCTTCTTTGGAGGGAATTTCGGAAGGTTCGGAGGATCATTAAATGTTCTTCTTAAAGATTTGTGTACTGAACGGAGTTGACTATACCTTTTCTCAAATGTAAAGATCATAACATACTCTCCTTGTTCGATTTTAAGTAAAACACCGACTTCTATTGTGTATAAGACACAGTTAGAATGCTGATCGAAATTCCAGCTTTCGACACTTACATAATATTCTGGTAATGCCTTGCTCTTCTTCAATGCTTTACATTTCCATCCGGATAATTTGTTGGCTTTGATAAGAGTTCTAAAAGGCATATTGATTTTATCCTAGTGTCTGGCAGATTGTCAAAGCCGTGGCAGATGCCGAAATTGAATAATTCTTTGAATTTTAAACATGTCTAAATTACATTATATTATTATTTTGAACAATAAAAATATTTTTTGTTTGACTTTTATTATGTCACCTTTTTGTCAGATCAATATTTTTATCTTCTCATTATTTATATAAATGTATTATTTTGTTAATAAAAATATTCTGTTCAATTTGACAAAAATTTTAGATCATATTTCTTATAAAAAAAATCTGAAAATATATACAAAGATTAAAATTTGATATTATGAAAGCAAAATTTCCCTAATTTTCAACTTATATTTTTGAAATATTTTCAAAACCCATATTTTTGCATTGTGGTTAAGATAGTTTCATTCAATAGGATGGGACTATATCAGAACTCAATTTGTAATAAGAAGGTTAAAAAAAAATCATCGAAATAGATCTACAGTAAGTTAGAGATCGATTTTAAGAAAAAGTAACATTAATTATTTACAGCAGTCAGATTTCTTCTTCTTTTTCTGATCCTTAGTAAGATCAACTTTCTGATTCTCTGATTTCGCAACTTCTTGGGGTTCTTCCTTTTGTACTGATGAGCCGTTATTCAAAAAGTTGATTGCAACGTTAGAAAGCTCATTGAAGGCTTCATCAACATTGAAATTTGTTAAAGCGCTTGTTTCAAAATATGAAACTTGGTGCCTCTCAGCAAACGCAGCTCCATCGTCAAAAGAAATCGCTCTACGATCTCCAATATCAGATTTATTACCAACGATTACAAATGGAACGTCAACCTTTTCAGACAAAGTGCTAATCCAACTATCTAGTGCTTCGAAAGATGAGCGATCGGTTAAGTCGAATACGATCATGGCTGCTTTTGCATCTCTGCAATAAATTGAAGTTGTACTTCTGTATTCATCTTGGCCAGCTGTATCCCAAATATTCATTGAATATGTTTTACCATCATCAAATTCTAATGTTACACTTTTATATGCGGCACCAATGGTAGGTTGGGAACTTCCGTCGTAACGATCTTCAGTCCATCTCGTAACAAGGGTAGTTTTGCCGACGGCTGAGTTACCAAGAAGAACAACCTTCACAGCTGTTTCACCCATTCAGATTTATCTGTCAATTTACATTTTCAAGCGATAAAAGTTAATTAAGTACATTTAATGAATGTTAACTGTTTTAAGAATTGTAAAAAATTCACTAGCTATTCAATTAAAATTGAATTGAAATAATTTTTTTATAATATAAAAATGAACGAATGGATATAGATTTTAAATTGATAATTTTTTAATTCAACGGCGAAAAAAAAATTTTGTGATCGAAAATTCAGATTATTAACAAACAGGGAATAAAAGCAAAGGAATTCCTTTAGACTGGCCGTGAAAAACAATAAAAGTTAAAATTCGGTTAGACTATCATTTCGAAACAAACAAAAGACGGTGCTGTGGGTACTATGAGATAAATTTTAAAAACAAACAAAATGTTTAAAATATACTATGCAAGCGTCGAACTTTTGAGTAAATCATCAACGCAAACTTTAAATGCTTCAAACGAGCATCGTGTATAATCAGATAACGACTTATCTGATGCGTAATCTTCTAAATATTCGTTGATAAACGAACAATAAGTAAAATCTGTGTCAATAATTAATTTATGCCAAATTACAATGGTTTTATCAAATGATATGAATGTAGGAATGTCTTTATTTTGATTTTTAGCCTCAATTTTGCATATCTTAACAATTGATTCGCTAATTAAACTAATTCCATAAAAGATATCGATAGGATTGCATTCAAACATTGAATTAAAAAGGTATTCTTGTGCTTGATTATAAACTTTAGCTGATTCACTACATAAGGCCTGAAAATTATCAATGTGATTGCTTCTGAATTGTTTAACAATATATCCGCTTGGTCGAAACAAATGTTGATATCTATCAAATGCATATCTGTATAATGTTAAATAAATCTCAAAAAAATTGTCGGTATTATATCCAAGTGTATATTCTAGTTGTTTCGCATTATCAAAAATGGATTTGATAAAAGTAATTTTAGATGTTGTATCGAAAGAAAGTTTTTGCGTAGCAAATGCAAGCTCAAGTCTTTCAGTAATTGCAGATCTTGGAAACCAATTAGTCTTTTTATCCCTAAGACCCCATAAAGTATTAAGCATTTCATTTATCTGTTGCTTTGGGATAGCGTATGGAGTGAAATCTTGTAATGTGGATTTGTCATTAATAAAGTAATTTAAAATGTTAATTTTGTTGACTAACTCGAAAGATACTAATAGATTTGCATCTAATCTCGGAGGGATGAGAGTAATATTAATCATTTTATGTTGCGAAATTTCTAAATTATCAATAGCTTTCTTACAATAGTCATAGAGGCATAATATTTCTGCCTTTCTTCTGTCAATATGATCTGAAACTTCGCATTTGTATCTCTCTATTAATTTCCTGATTTTGATTTTGGCGTAATTTAATTCTGGGCAGTTTGTAATTAATAATGGATTTTTTGGAGGAGGCTTAGCTGGTTGTTTCCAGACACAACTTAATATGAATTGTTCGCATAAATTAATAGCGCTTTTATAATTCAATTTTAAGTTTTTAATGAAGTCATGACAATTATTCTCATTACGAACATCAAGGAAGTATTTCTGAATGTTTTTCGTTATAGTGGGTTCATTCGAAGTTTGGATGTTCATCCAAATATTAGAACAATTATCAAATTTGAAATTTTTTGTTTTAATAATGATGTAACAATGGTTGAATTTATCAATTTATCCGGCGAATAAGATCGTTTTATGGTTGAAAAGATTCAAAATAAACGTAAAATGCATAAATTGACTTTGAAATCAATGAAAATGCATTAATTATTTAATTTAAAATACTTTCTTCGATATTAATTCTTGTGAAAATTCAAAAAAAAATTGAAATTTCATTTTTTGATTTTAATTTTAACATTTTTCATCTTAAAAAATTAGAATCTGAAAAAAATTTGGAAAAACACGATTCTAGTACATATCGTAATTCATCATATCAAGATAAAATATGTGAAAATTTTTTTACTTTAATTAATAATTGACAATATTTTATTCAATCTTAGGTAATTAGACTCTAATTGAATTAGTAAGATTGAGCTTACATATTTCTATATATATAACAACTACCAACACTCGATAGAAACATTATTGTTTGCTAAAATTAGTTAATTGTTAAATAAATTTCTCATGAAAGAGATAAAATAAGTAATAAACCTAAATGTAAAGTTTTTACCAAAATAACAGCCAAAGTTTACTCAGCGTTGAACTTAGCGACAGCCTTGCCACCTTCTGAAACGGCGTGCTTGGCAAGATCGCCTGGAAGAACAAGACGAACAGCTGTCTGAACTTCGCGAGAACCGAGTGTGTTACGTTCGTTCATATCGACAAGGCGAGCACCTTCCTGAGCGATACGCTCGAAGATATCTGTAACGAAGGAGTTCATGACCATCATAGCCTTGTTGGAGATACCGATATCTGGGTGGACCTGCTTAAGAACCTTGAAGATGTAGGATGAGAATGTTTCAGCACGCTTCTTGTGGCGGAGCTTCTTATCTTGCTTGGCGGCGTTAGCGGCATCGACTCCCTCGACGGCTGGCTTCTTCTCAGTTGGTGTCTTAGATGCTGGCTTCTTTGAAGACATCTTAAACTAATGAACTGAAAATTCGCCCGCCAAAAAATTCAGAGTATTTTGGCGGGACTTTGAAAAACCGTTTTAGACCACAAAAATTTTAATACCTAAGGAACGGTTTAAGACCATAACCAACTAAATTTTTGGCGGGGTTTTGATAAGTTCATTAGTTGATAATGCCAGCCAAGAAAGGTGTTAAGAAGACAGCAACAAAGACAGCCGTCGATGGCGAACGCCAGCATCCAAAGACACGTTCATCCCGTGCCGGTCTTCAGTTCCCTGTCGGCCGTCTTCACAGATTCCTCCGTGAAGGCCGTTATGGTGAGCGTGTCGGTGCTGGTGCTCCAGTCTTCATGGCTGCTGTTCTTGAGTATCTTACTGTCGAAGTTCTCGAACTTGCCGGTAACGCTGCTCGTGATAACAAGAAGACACGTATTTCCCCACGCCACATCATGCTTGCCGTTCGTAACGATGAAGAATTGAACCAATTACTCTCCAACATCACCATCGCTTCCGCTGGTGTTGTTCCACACATCCACAAGGTCCTCCTCGGCAATCCAAAGAAGGGCAAGGATGCTTCTCAGACACAGGAGTAAACGATTTTACTGTTTTTCAATACAACTTTTTATTTTTTTTAAGTTTTTTTTTTTAGAATTGTTATTAATTTGATCAGAAAAGTAACAGAAATTGCCTAATTAGGGTTCTTATTCGTAATATATCTGATCCCGTTCAAGATAAGTTCATTCCATGATAAGGTTTTTGAAATAAATGTTTCCTTAAATGATCTGTGGTCCAACTAAATATTTACAAGAATTCTATTGAGTAGATCAACATGTTTAACAAGGAATATTCTTAACATGATCTTCCGAGGAAATTGATATACTTCATCGGAAAGTTGTTCAACAAATTGTTGCGCCTAGAAGCATCTGTCCTTAAGTGTGAAAGACAAAACAAAATTGGGCGATGAAAGGGTAAAATTGGAGAAAATTCTTCGAAATGAAATTTAAGATATACCAGTGTAAAAGGAGCTTCTAGACTAATTTCCAATTCCAATATCAAAATAAATCCAACGTGTCAAGCGTTGGAGTTCCTATTGATAATATTATTTCGGATAAATTTGGGGATAAATAAAAGGATGATCAGCTAAAAACAATTAAATCATCAACGACCTTCGGAACATTTGAAGGGGATGTTTGAGCGTTCATTAATTCTCTCTGTTGCTTGAGATGCATCTCTTCCATTGCGGCGATCTCAGCCTTTTGCCTCTCGAGCAATGCTTTGTATTCTGGGTCACTGAAGACTTCGTCGTCGAGTCCATCTGAATATTCTTCTTCTTTAGGCTGAATTTGTTGCCTGAAGTCTGTTAACGATTGCCTGAGAGCTTCGTTGATTTGATTCCTAATTGAGTTTCTAACATCAACTTCTTCATCACTTGATAATCCAAGTGTTTGTTTTAATTCGGCCACAATTTGGCCAATATCATCGTTAACGGTGTCGAATGGGAAACCAATCTTGATATCTTCGCTATCTCTGTGAATAATGAGATTAATATCCACATGATTTTGAAATCCTACAGCAGACATTTTGCTTAGTGTGATTAGGCTTAAGAATTGAGGGGAAAACGATTATTTTTGGTATTTTCGAATTAACCCCTACACCTGCGGGATGCACTACTTAGATCTACATAAGCATAACAATAACAACCAATTCTCAAGAACTCCGAAAAATCCAACTATTGTTTATGGCGAAATCAAATACCAAGAAATGAGATTCTCTACATTAATCACATTTGAGTACACAATATAAGGATTAAAAAATATGCAATAGTTTTGAGCAATTCATTATTTGGAGGGTTAATTTGCGAATGCTTTAACCAATATTCGCTATATGCATACTACAATTAGAATTCAAATAATTATAAATAACAAGAAGATTTCTATGTCCAATTCCATTCATTTCTGAAAATGAAACATTATTGTATCCATTTTGTTAACAATATCATAGGATAACGGATGGAGATGCTATACTAATTTACTGAAACATAAATTTTGTATACAAGTTTAGTGAAACATCAAAATAGATCTCTATTTGATTCAAATATACACAAGATTCTCCCAAATAGGATATCTAATATGTAAAAATAAGTTTTATACTCGTAATCTATTTGAGTGTTAAGCTTGTGCAAACCCATAAGACTTTTGTGGGAATATCATTTTTTATATTATCGTCTTTTGTAGTGTAAAAAAAATCGTTATTTGGCATGGGGTGCGGAGGTTCTGTTGTTGACAGAAAAAAGAACAAGAAGAAGAATTTAAATCCACAGACTAAAGCTACATGCCTAATATTTGGCATGCCAGATAGAGGTCAGCAAGCATTTGCAGATTTAATGAACAAAACCTTCATGACAACAGCATTCAGCCAAATAACGTATTCATTTGTGGTAGTCGATTCATCAAGAATTTCCCGTAAAGGATGGCCAAAACAATATACGCAGAATGACAATGTTTTCATTTCATTTTTCTTCCCTGATTTTTCATCTCCTGGAGCCTCCCTCCTTAGCCTCAAATCATTGAATTGGTTAAACTCACAATTGAAAGATCAGCCTAAACCAATAGTTATTGCTAAGGCAAAGAATGCAAAGGAAAAGCCAAATTTAAACACCTTTCAAAACCAGTTATCAAAAGATGTAACTGTTTATATCCCAATTGATAATGGAGTTGAAGATACTAAAAACTACTATGAATACGTTAAGAACGCGTCAGAGAACATCAAAATACCAGAAGCCAAATAACTTGTATGATATTTTCTTTATATTTTTATTTCCATTTGATTTTATTTATGTAAAATTTCATGTAGATATTATTTAATTCATTTTAGATCATGAATTCATATTTAGAGCTACTTGTATTCAACGTTTACAACTTCAGTAAATCTTGTACTGAGTAATGTAATCAACAAATTCACTAACATTTAGCTTGACAAGACCTTTATTATAGAAATTATCACATGGAAACAAAAAGATCCGAGACACTTTCAAAAACCCTTAAAGGCGCTAATTAGTGGAAAATTTGATCAATATTGAAGTCAAAATGGACGAATTCTTGCTCATGTTATCCAGAGAATTTCCCACATATTCCAAAACTCCTATTAATATTCATTGATTTCTAGTTTAATGTTGGAAAAACTTCCATTACATTGATGAAACAATTTTCTTTTCAATTTATGTATTTGGAAAATTTTTATGAGAACGTTTATTATTATACAACATATTGCATTAAATAGCTACACCTGTTGTTTATATAAACTTGATATCAATTCACTTTGATTTCATTTTTGTATTTGAATGGAATCCGATTCGTCTCTAAACGAGAATTGGATAATTAATGATATCAATAAAGATCCATGAAAATCGCAATTATACATGATTTCGGGTGTAAAAGCTCAGCTTAGTCTTGCAAATACACCAGAAAATGTAAAAAAGATTGTTATTAAGTTTTCAGGTCCAGAATTAGTTAAGAAAACATTTAGCTGCGAATACAAATTGACAGTTATGCACTCAAACCCCGAAAAACACATAGAATTAGAAGGAAAATCTTTAGTAAGTGTTTCCAAAATGTCAACATTAGTCATGACAAACATAAATCAATCAGATATTAATGATTACTTGATCGAAAATCAACTCAACATCAAAATCAATATTTCTTTGACAGAAAAGAAACATAGACCTACAAACACAGCGAAGAAAGTAGGAACATCGAAGAGACCAGCAGTAAATCCGAATTACATTTCAAAGAATGAGACTGGTTTTGTTGGATTAATCAATCAAGGAGCAACTTGCTACATGAATTCAATGTTACAAGCATTATATAGCATAACAGCCTTTAGAAGGATGATATACAATATGCCTACAGCAGGAACAGATGATATTGAAAAATCAATTCCATTAAATTTACAACATTTGTTCTATTACATGCAGACATCCACAACTGCTGTTACTACTAAATACTTAACGCGCTCATTTGGCTGGGATGCTATTGAAACTGGTTTCCAGCAAGATATTCAAGAATTTTGCAGAGTTTTGCTTGATAACCTTGAGACGAAACTTACAAAGGCAGGGAGAAAAGATGAAATTTCACAAATGTTCAGAGGAAAAATGCAAAAAGTAATTAAAGCAGTAGATTGCCCATATGTTTCTACAAAAGACGATTATTTCTATGATATAACACTTACTGTTGATGGTTATAAGACATTGGAAGAATCATTGGAATCTCTTTTTGCTTCTTTTGAATATTCAGATTATAATACAGAAAGTGAATATGGAAGACGTACAGTTTCTGTATCAGACAAACTTGTTGAGCTTCCTCCAATCCTGTTCTTCCATTTAAGTCGTTTTGTTTACGACAATTTTGGAAATATTAGTAAATTAAATTCAAGATTCGAATTTCCGAAAGAATTAGATCTTTCCAAATACATAGAAGACAGTCTCTATGAATTGACAGGTGTTTTGGTCCATTCTGGCTCTGTAAATGGCGGACATTATTATGCTTTCCTCAAACCAACAGAAGAACCAAAGTGGTACAGATTTGATGATTCCTTGGTGACTCTCGAGAAAGAAGATGCTGCAATAAGAGATAATTTCGGTTCAAATGAGAGATACGGCGGAACTTCTGCTTATTATTTGATTTACACAAAGAAAAACATGATTTCTGAACTTTACAAACCGATAACATTGGAAGAGATTCCAGAACATGTGAAGAACACAGTTAAAGAGATCGATAATTACAATCAGAAGCTTCTTGAACAGAAAGAATCCGAAAAAGGACTTGTTTCTATTGATTTAATCGATGAAACCATTCTAAAACAAAATACAGAAAATATGGAATTTGGTTTCTTAGGAAAACCAATAGAAACAGTGACAATTGACCGCACACAAACAACAGAAGACTTGTATAACATCGTCAGCCAAAAGATGAACTTGGACTTGAATAAATTCAGACTTTGGTTGACGGAAATTTTCCAAATTCCTGTTTTGCCACTTTTGCATTCAAAATCTCAAAAAATTTCAATAATTAGAAGTTTCTTTACAGGAAATTCCACAATATTTATACAGAAGAAACGTGAAGAAGATCCAGATGACCTCAAAAAAGATAATATTGTTGTTTATTTGAAGTTTTATTTCCATGAAACCAAAAAATTGGTTTATTTGTTCTCAGAAACTGTTTCATTGAAATCAAACATAAACACATTATTTAAGAAAGTAAATGAAGCACTTGGATATCCACCAAACGAAGAACTTCTCGTTTTCCAGGAATTACAAAGCAGAACAGCGAATCCAGCAAAAACAAACGAAAGTTTTTCTGCTAATTTGATCGATTCAGGAACAATTCTGATTTTCCAAAGAAATCCAAAGTCACCTCACTTACACACAACTTATCAGTTCACTTCACCTGTCAAACCGGAAACCGTTTCTCAAGAAGAAAATACAATTTACAAGATTCTTCCACATTTGCAAGATGGCACAGTTTCATCGTATTTCGAAGAGAAATTTAAGATGATTCCTTTGGCTGTATATGATTATAATTTGAATGAAGAAAAATTACTTTGTAAAATCAATTTTCCGCCATCGATTTCACTTCCTGACTTCAAATATTATATATCTCAGATGGCCAAAATCGAATTTGATCCTGAGAAAGAAGCAATGCTATTATTACCTAATGATTCATGCAATGGACCAAGTGTTAAACCAATTTCTTCAAAGTATCATTTGAGGGATTTGTTTTGTTCGAATGTCACTGTTTTGTTCATGAAAATTGTTAAAGGAATCAAAGATTCAGAAATCGAGAAATACAACAATTATAAAGTTCAGTTCTCGAATGATTCATTTAATATCATTTATGATGATTTAGTTTTCATGCCAAAAGAATCAACGCCATACCAATTATACCAAGAGATAAGGAAATCAGGAATCGAAGTTAAAAGTGGAAAATTGAGATGTTTGTTGATAAACAGAGGAACATTTTCAGAAAAAATTGATATGATTAAACCAGTTCCTTATGATTTATTGACAGTTAGAATCGAAGTTGTTCCAGAACATCAAGAAAATGAAGATGATGGAAAAATAATTCCTGCTGCTCTTTGTCATGTTGATGGTTTTGGAACAAAAATTTTCTTCAAACAACCATTCATGGCTAAGATTTACAATGACAAGTTCGAGAAGACTGTGACAACAATTAAGAATTGGCTGCCATTAGTAGATGATGACGTCAAATTCACAATTGTTAACCCAAGTATTGAACCAGAAAATGACCAGAACATATTTGATGAATTGAAAGAATTTTCTCAGCTTCACATCATTTTCAAGAATCCGAAGGCTTTCGAAAAGCCAAAGGATATAGCTTCATGGGTAACCGAGTGCTCTTCTTGCAGTTGTTCTTGCTCTCATCAAAGATCACTTAAGATTTATAACTAAACATTATATTTTTGTTTTTAATTTTTTTACAATCCTTTTCTATCAGAAAATTATGAGTTTTACTAAAACTTTCCATGGAATTAGATCAGTTTGAACTGGTGTATCATTTGTTGACATCATTGAATTCGCTACTGTTTCGATCTCATAAGGGTTGTGCCATCAATAAATCAGGTTGTGATTATATTAAAAACACTTATTCGTTTAAACGAAACAAACGAAGCAGGAGGAAATTTGATTTTCAAATACTACAGTGTTATTTTACGCAAACTATATAATAACATATTTACAAACAAATATAAATACAAACAAGAATAAAAAATGATAAATCATTTCTTTTCAGATTCCTGACGAGATTTTTTCTCCATCTCATCAATTTTTTGTTTCTTTCTTTCGATGAATTCGTGGTAAGAATGGTTTCTAACCCAAGCAATATCTCCCGCTGCTGTTTGCAAGTTCTGTCCAGCGCTTTCAAGGTTTTCGCAGGCAGCTTTGAAGCTTGCCTTGAGAGGGTCAAGTTTAGTTCCTTTTCCTATTGTTTCATCAATTGACAATCCAATAGAAATGTAGCTTTTCAGTTCTCTGTATGCGTTATCAAATTTTTCAGCAGCCAGGGCCATATTTTCCCAGAAGTTGATTGTATCAGCGATCTTTGACATATCTCCAGTGTTCGTTGAATACTTTTTGAACAATTCAAGTTTATGAAATGACGAATATCCCAATCTCTTCAAATATTCATCCAATTTCTTAACAACAGGTATAGAATCTTCAATTCCTTCAATTTTGTTTTCTCCGAAAATGGAATGTGTCATAAGGAACTTGAATGTTGGACTCATTGACAAAGCTTGTTGAGCGCCCTTCAAATTCTTCATTGTGATTCCATTTATGATGACTTCTTCTTCCTCCTTTGGTTCTTCTTTGACCGGATTTTGTGGTTGAACCTTTGTTTGAGATAATTCTTCTCCCATTTGTGCAGTATTCCATATCGTATCCGTAATAAGTGTATCCCCAACAAGAACAGCAGAGTCTGTTGGCTTCGGTTTTGGCTCAATTTTAGGCGGAACATAATCTTGAACTTGAAGATGAGGAAAAGGATTCTTTTCAGGTTGAACATCTCTTATCTCCAAATATACATCAGCCATATCATGGAGTTCACCAACAATTGATGTAATATCTCCAGATCGATTTTCAATTGGGTCTTCATGCTGAAGAAAGTACTTAACTGCATCAACTTTGGCGATTCCATCATCGGAGTTAGAATTACTTTTAGTTTCTTTGTTTCTTGGCATGAAATTTGAAATAACATTGATTTTTTTCGTTTTTGGCTGAATAATAACTGGTGTTTTAATCTGAGATACAGAGCGTGATTGTTTACGCATGATGTCAGAGGCTAGTGATGGCAGTTTTTCGATGTTTTGAAGTAATTTTTGTTCTGTAGATTTTAATTCGTGAGGGTAAAATGTTTCTTCATTCATTTGGTATGGTTTAGGGAACTTATCCATTGTTGCTCTAGCATGCGCTAAGAAAACATATTCATTTTCTTGACCGATTTTCTTTAATTGTTGTTGAGAAATTTTTGGTTTATCTTCTTCTTTCTTTAATTCAACGGTACTTATTGCCTCTGCAAATTCTTTTCGTAAATCCGGTGATAAATCTTCTGTTTTGATTGTGTTAGTTCTAATTGCATTATCAAAAATACTTTTTCGCAAATTTCTTGCTTCCATAACGAAATCATACATTTGCTTCTTTAGCATCGCATCCGATAGCTTCTTTTTAGTTTGTCGTGCTTTTGCTTTTCTAACGAATGCTGTAATTGAATTATAGAATCGCGAAACTAAAATAAAATTAGTGTGAACTTCTCTTAGTGGTAACTTGTTGATCTCAGCAACTATAGATTGAACAGTGTCAGTATTTATCCAGTATTGAAGATACGGTTCTTGCGTGACAAGAGAAGTGATATCTGAATTCTCATATTCTTCTTGCTGTTTACTTTTCTTATTTTTCTGAAGTACTTCATTCTTTCTTTTCATCATTTCTCTGTCAAAAGCATCTGTATCTACGCTATGGACGAATCCGTCACGAGCTAACTTTTTCAGGTATTCTTGAGTATTCGTAATTGATTCAGAAGGTGATGGAGGGCGAATGTCATCCGGGTTTTTGACATTCATTTTAGGACATCCGTATATTGTAATTAGCTCTTCTTTTGTACGGGGCGAAAGAATCGGAGCAGCATCGAAATGGGCTATGATTGCGTCGTTGATTTCATTGAATTTCTTTCTATCAAACGTTACTTCGCCCATATCAATGAATTTTTACAATTTTCAGAAAATGTGACGGAAAATTTCATGTAAATCTATCAAAACTGAAATACAATGAAATAACGTACTCTTTATTTTATTAATATTATATGTAAATTAAAAGGTACATTCACTATTTTTGACAAAATTTTAAATTTTCATGGGGTTGTAAATCTTATAATAACTAGATGAATAAGGAATGAATCCCAGTATAATGTGCATCATTATATTAAACACTATATGTAAGGCTAATGATTCTATTAACACTTATGAAGATCTATAGTATTTGAGCAGATAAATTTGATAATTTCCAAAACTCTTATATTTCAAAATTAAAGTGTGCGAATGCATTTAAATGAGAGCAAAAAGAGATTGATGCTGTTAAAACTAGGTGTTAATTTGCAATTATTTCGCATCACAAGAACTACCCAGTAAATTCGGCTATCTTTCTTTGCAATTATTCTCCATTATACATATAATATAATGGTTAGGGTTTGAAGAAAAGTTACTAGAGAATTATTGACTTTTGAAATAATGCAGAATTTTACTTGAAGAAATCATTAATTTATGAGTTCCAAATTGCTAAGCATGACGAAGGATCATTAAATTTGCTACAATTAAATACACTTATTGCAGAATTAAGATTTTTGAAATTAAAAGTTTGAAATATTGCCTTTTTGAATAAAAATTTAAATTTTATTATATAATCATGATAATATCTTATAGAAATTAAAAGAAAATATTTTAAACCATTCAAATATTTTGAATGTCTTATCAATTTAAAATATTAAAAGATAGCTTGATTTTATCATCATTAGTTGTTATCAAAGTTTTCTTCTTTTGATGAACAACAGTAAATGATTTGTTAATTACTTGTCTTCCTTTTTCGCAGCAAAATCGAAAGTTATGATGATAATCTTGCTCTCAATTTTGAAACTCTCTGATTTACAAGTAAGCATTCCTTTGGAAAAGCAGTCCTATTCTGTTTTCAAGATATTTTAAAGCCTCCATTTCATACAATGCGCAGATCTATTCGAAATTGCAAGAACTCTCAAGAAAAATGCAGCAGCAAAGAAGATTCCATAGTTTCTAGCATCAAAAATTTACAACCTTAATACAACAGTTAAAGAGAAGCTCGAAAAGAAAAAGAAAATATTTAACCATAAAGCTGGAAACCATTCGATATCTACTATTGGATCTAATAAAAAGTTAATTATAAAACATATTTAACATGCTATTTGTTGACTTTGTTCCATTATATTACCTATATATATCTTTTGAAATCTAAAATATTTTTACGATTTTAACCATGTGTTGTTGAAACCATATATCAATCTTAGCTAAAGTATAGTTTATGAGTCTGTCACATCTAACGTATGAATTTTCAAAAATGTCAAATATGTTCATTTTTTCTGTAGATTCAGCCATAATTTCACGTTGTTATACTATTCAACTATTATTTAATATTTTTATCGATTTAAATATATGATGAGATGCTTAGTTCTCCTGGAAATCGATTTTTAATCGCAATTTTAACTTTCCAAAAAAAATTCAAAAATAAAAATCCCTCTCAATTTTCTAAGTTTTATAACTCGCCAAATCTCTAGCCAAATTTTTTTGGCCCGTATAAATATTGTTAGGCACTATATAGGGATGCTATTTATCTTATTTTCATCCCATTTTACTGTTATCGCCTAGTGAATGTACCTTTGTAAATTAACCCAATATTAAAAATATTTGAAATGGAGCAAAAATATTTTTTTATAAATATAAGGAACAATTTCAATATATTAGAGCACATTTTATACAGTTTCAGATATTAGAGCATTCAATCAAATCAATATTGTTGGAGATGAAATACCAATTCAAGATTTGAAGCTATACAATCCACAGGAAATATCAGTAAACATAGTAGATAAAGTTACAGTCCTTGCTAAAGGTGATAAATTGCAAATAACATACTCAAATGGTAAAATAATTACTTTTCCTTTGATTTCTGGAACCGAAGGAGTGTTTTCAAAATCGCACATAAAATTTAACATGGATTCCACATTAATTCTTGACCAACTTAGTCTATCATGGGAAACTCCTTTATTAGATATTATGATTGAAAATTGTGTTTTGACGGTTGACCAAAAAAGAAATGATCAAATAGCTGACTCGAATATAAGACTCCTAGGTAATGCAATTCTCTCTTCCGAAAAAGAATATTCCGTTGCTAATCTTTTTGTTAAAAATCAAAGTAACATTTTAAGAGCAAATGTTATAGATACTGAAGTAATTGTTGGAGATAATACAGAATTCATTGTTGATGTTCCTAATTCGGACTTTATTTCGATAAATTTGCAAACAAATTCAACATTATCTTCGAAGTACGTAATATCAGCAGAAGTAATATCTACTATCAATAATTCACCAGATGGAGTCATTAATATCGATGCAACTGTTAATATTTCAGAAAAATTAAGTTATGGATCTACAAAACTTATTGTAAAAGAGCTAATTTTACACGAATATGGACTTTTGGCATGCGTACATCATAATACAGGTGTAATTCCTTGCACAATATATAATGCCAAGAAAATCAATTTCATTTTTTCAACAAATCCAGGTTATAGTACAGAACAAAATGAAATCTTGTTTGATGATTTGTTCTGGGCCGGAAAGAACACATTTGATGTTCTAGAAACGAATCTTTCAATAAAGAAAATAAATTTAATAAGTGAAGCCGCAAGTATTGAAGAGATAGTTATATTCCAATCAAACACTTTCTTGAAACTCACGAAAAATGAAACAATGATCCAGTTTAAATACATTGAAAGTCCATTTTCTGTATTTTCAAAGTTTTGTTTTGGAGGAAACATCGAAGATTCCATTTGTAAAGAAACTCCAAGATATTTCTATCAGTCATACAATGATAGTTGGAAATCATATCTTACTTCGCACACACAACGAATAATATTAGCATTCAATGATACAAAAGAAACTATTGATTTGATGAATATCAATGATACACAAACATTGGATTTACAATTATCAGGAAACACAGAAGTAAACATTGTTTGTTCATCTCCTCCAAATAATATTCAGTCATTATTTGTAACTGGAGGAATTGTTAACTTTGATTTTGATAACTTCACTGAATTATCAATGTTACTTGTTATTTCGAACACAAATATTACATTGAAGAATTGTAATTTGTTTCTCACTGGGTTTTCGTCTATCAATCCCAGCTCATTATATACGCAACCAATCAAAAATCTGATATGGGAGTCCAAGGCTAACTTTTTGTTGTCTACCTAATAAAAGAGAAAGCAGCATTAGTGAGAATAATCGCAAATATTCAATTTAAATTATCTTTTTATTCTTAATTTAAAGTGACAAAAAGAATAAAAAACCTATTCTAAGGCATGTTGTTATGTAAATGAGACTAGACATCATATTTTATGTTATGAAAAAAAAATATTTAGAATTTTAGAACAAAATAAATAGAAAAAATAGCATAACTTATGGATGTGCGTATATTAAATTTAATAAATTAAGAGAAATTATTTTTGGCGCCAAAATTATTCGTTAACTCTCAAATTTTTCTGAGTCAATATAGGAAAGGAAACCTATTTGACGAACAATCCGGACACTAGTGCCTCAGCGAATTTCCCCAAACCCACCAATCCCCTCCCTGCTGTTGTGCACCATCGATGGAAAGTAAGTCATCAATAGTCTCTTTTCCTTGGACTTGAAATGTAAATCTCGGACGAAAGTAAGTCTGACTTGAAATGTAAGTCTGACTTGAAATGTAAGTTTCGGACGAAAGTAAGTCTGACTTGAAATGTAAGTTTCGGACGAAAGTAAGTCTGATTCTAAATATAAGTCTGATATTAAGATAAGTTTGTAACTAAAATTAAGTCTTATTCCAAAAGCAAATTTAATTGTATAATAAGTCTGGATCTAGAATAAGCCTTAGTCTACAGCTATTCTGTGTCAAAAATAAGTCACGAACCATAGTAAGTTTCGGACTAGAGTATGTCTGTAATTCGAATCATTCATATTCTTCAATTATCCCGCCAAAAAAATTATCGTCTTTTTATCATACCATAGTTTTTATCAATCTCGTTCTACTAAAAAACCTTTATATTGGTGATTTCTTTGTTAAACCAAAAAAAAAAAAAAAAAAAAAAAGGAGGGAGTGGGGCTTCCAGGCACTTCGTGCCTTCTAGCCCTGAGGATGAATGAGTATAATGAAGTTTTTTTTTCTTGGGGTGACCTTCCAGGCACTTCGTGCCTTCTAGCCCACATAAATGAAGTTTTTATTCGGAGGTCTTCCAGGAGCTTTTCACAAATTATATATGTTTTCATGTTTTGTCATGATTTCATCGTAAATGTTTTGTCAAGACTTCTTCGTAAATGTTTTGTCAAACTTCTTGTAAATGTTTTGTCAAGATTTCATCGTAAATGTTTTGTCAAGACTTCTTCTTCGTAAATGTTTTTGTCAAGACTTCTTCGTAATGTTTTGTCAAGACTTCTTCGTAATGAGCGTAAATGACCCAAAAATAATGTTATGTTAGCATGTTAGATCTAACACGTTTTCTAACATGTTTTCTAACATCGTAGAAAACTCATGATTTCTTCGTAAATGTTTTGTCAAGACTTCTTCGTAAATGTTTTGTCAAGACTTCTTCGTAAATGTTTTGTCAAGACTTCTTCGTAAATGTTTTGTCGAAACTTCTTCGTAAATGTTTTGTCAAGACTTCTTCGTAAATGTTTTGTCAAGACTTCTTCGTAAATGTTTTGTCAAACATGAACGTAAATGTTTTGTCAAGACTTCTTCGTAATGAGCGTAAATGACCCAAAAATAATGTTTATGTTAGAATGTTAGATCTAACACGTTTTCTAACATGTTTTCTAACATCGTAGAAAACTCATGATTTCTTCGTAATGTTTTGTCAAACATGAACGTAAATGTTTTGTCAAGACTTCTTCGTAATGAGCGTAAAGGACCCAAAAATAATGTTTAGGTGAAGAGGTGAGATGTCACCTCTTTTCTCACCTGTTTTCTCACCTCATGAATTTTCATGATTTCATCGTAAATGTTTTGACAAAACATAGACAAGAAAGTTTTGACAAAACATAGACAAGAAAGTTTTGACAAAACATAGACAAGAAAGTTTTGACAAAACATAGACAAGAAAGTTTTGACAAAACATAGACAAGAAAGTTTTGACAAAACATATACGATGAAGTTTGACAAAACATTGACGATGAAGAAGTCTTGACAAAACATATACGAAGAAATCATGAGTTTTCTACGATGTTAGAAAACATGTTAGAAAACGTGTTAGATCTAACATTCTAACATAAACATTATTTTTGGGTCATTTACGCTCATTACGAAGAAGTCTTGACAAAACATATACGTTCATGTTTGACAAAACATATACGATGAAGTTTGACAACACTTTGACCGAGTAGTTTTTTGAGCTGAACAAAAAGTGTCATATAAACATCTGTCAAAAACCGTTTTTTACTTCACTTAAAATGCCACGTAAGCTACGTAAGAATATACGTAAGAGGAAGAGAGCATTGAAACATCCAATAGTAAGACTAACACCACAACAACAGTTGCAACAACAAATGCTGAATGACCCCACTATGTTGCAACAAATGTCAAGCAATCCTATGCTTTTAAACCGAGTTGTTGGTGCACGAGTGGAGGTTTAAGAGCGGCACTTTTAGCGAAAATGGCAGGCTATGGTGGAGCTGCAGACGGAACAGCCTATAACCCTCAAGTCAAATGAATTTGAGTTCACTCAAAAATCAAATAACAGATGTCAAAAAGTCAAACATAGACATACAGAAGCAAATAAGTGAAAACGAAAAGAAACTAGAATATGACAGACACACAAAGAAACTCAATGAGTTAAACGTAGAGAAAAAAGAGAAAGAAGAACAACTGAAAGAACTAAGTACAGAGGAATATGCGAAAAAAGTGTCAGAAAAAGCAGCAGAAGTAGCAAAAATGGAACAAGATGTCATAAATTTGAAAAACCATACTACTCAATATAAAATACTGAAAGATGAAGAGATAAAACAAAAAGCCCTGAAGACATATATGGAAGCGATGAGTATAAAAAAAGAAGTTGAAGCAAATGTAAAGGCAGAAAAACTTTTACAGTTGCAAAACCAAACCGTACAGTATGAAAACTTAGCACAAGAAAGTAAAAATAACGACGCAGCCATGCAAAAGGCAATGAAAAGCGCAGAATATATAAAAGCTAACAATGACTGGTTAGATGCCCAAGCCAACGCTAAAGCAGCCCAGCTTATAGGTCAATAAGGACAAAAATACAAGCGGATGAAGACAGTTCAAATGAAACTTTAACAATGCTGACTTTAAGAACGCTTTCGAAGCTCTTCATAGTAAGGTGAAACAAGTGAACGACTTCTCATCTGGAAAGAAACTGAAGTCTGAAGGTTTCGACAAAGAGTTAAAAGAAGTAGCACAAAATATGACGAAAATAACAGATGCAGCAACGAGACAGGCAGTTCAAAGTGCCTATGACGCGTTAGAGCAACTGTTGTGGAAAGTCAAGAAAAGAGTTACAACAGACCAAAACAGACCTAGTAAATGCTTTCTTAAGAACGAAAAGTCAGGTAGGACATTACGCTGCAGATGGAACATATGTGCCAGCTGGTGGAACTTATATACCACCAAACCCTCCAAGAGAAGCACCTGCACCAGGACTACCTAAAACATTTACATCGTCACATGGACACAGACACAGGCATGCACCAAAACCAACACAACAACCAACACAACAACCAACATTCAAAACACTGCACCACAACCAACAGTTCAAAACACTGCACAGCAACCAACAGTTCAAAACACTGCACAACAACAACCACAAACAGAGCAAGGACATAAAAGAAGTAGAGAACAAGGAAACCAAGAATTCTTAAAAATGCTTAAAGAAGAGTGTGGTTTCCCAGATACTGTTGACTTTAGTGACAGATATAAAGAAGCTATTGGAAAGTTCAAGGATGGAAATACTGACCCGACCTATTTAGCTTTATGGCTCAGCACCAAAAACGGATATAATCTCAAACCTGGAAAAATACAAGCTCGCTAAGGGATATGATTTAATAGCATATCATCCAAATGACATGGATGAATTTACTCCGAGATATTTGATGTCAGAGCTAAATGACAATTCAACTTTCGTCATGAAACGCGTAAAATAGAGACGGAACGAAAGAACAAAAGCTTATGAATGCGGATGACGTAGATAGGGAAATTGTAAAAATGGTCTCGGAATATATGAAATGCCAGCAGATGAGGTACAAGAAACTCCACAGGAAGAAGTTCAGATACAACAGACATGGAAGAAATAGTTCAGCAACAACAGCTAGAAGAGCCTGAAGGAAACGAACAAGTCACTCCTTTGGAAACTAACTTCACAGAACTAGATGAAGATTTGGAGCCGAAAAATCTTGACCCTCAACAAGAGATGCGGAGAATATGAATATTTCCAGGAGTCTAAAAAAAATTCGCTGACATAGTAGAAGAATATCGAAAAATGTTTTGCGACATACAAAAATCCAGCACCAGATGAAAATATTCAGCATAGAATGGAAGTACTGAAAGAAAATGTACACAAATACAACAACCCTTTTTACTTACGAGCATTTAACGTTCAATCTTCGGATAACTCGGTGAAAATAAAAGGTTAAATTCAAGAAAACATATAGAAATGAAACATTGTTTAAAGTCATTCAGAACCTAACCAAGATGGAAAACAACCTACTTTTGTTTTGCAGACGATGGAACTACAATGAGATGGGGTCATAAAGCTAATCCAGATAGGTGGTTCATAAACTTACAACCACAATTCCAAGAAGTTGTAGACGCAATGGAGTCAATGGTGAACCAGATATAGCTTGTATTTTAAGCGCGGCTTTAATGCATTGAAAGATATGAAACATGCAGATATTTTGGACCAGATATGAAATGAACATGGCTGATGGAAATAACACACTGACGTTCTAGAACATTTATCTCAAAAACTACACAGAACCATAGAGATGGTAATTTGGTGAAGAGTTTAGAAAGAAAGTTAGGGAGGGCGAAGGAAGAGAACCTATTGTACATGACCTTGCAAACGAAAGTTTACAAAATGTCATAAAAACTTACTTTGCAGACAATGAAATGAGAAGGGATGAATATTTAAGAAAACTCAAAATGGACAGTACCAAATGAAATTAGTATTGAAAAAACATGTTCCTTGACAAAAAAAACCAAACTA